TTGGCTACAAATTTCAACCCTCCGCATACATGCCTTCCCCTTCACCCGCTCGTAAAATCACGCGTTCTCGGTAGCATCGAGGAGGACTTTTCAGGACCGAAAAGAACTGAGGATTCGAAAGGTCTCTGGAAAAGTACGTCGCAGAACTGATTAGGACTTACCAGGTCCATCTAGGCCTGGAGAGATCTTGAAAGACCTGTGTACGTCCAATCAGAACCAAATCCTCGACTGGGGGATCCACCATTCGCATCAGTCTCCCCGATATTCCCAACTCCAGCAAAAGCAACAATTCTCCTCATATACCCAACCACAACCCCCACGATCCTCACTAGCTGCTGTCTGATGAAAGCACCATCATATTAATTCGTTGTTCTCTCGCTCGACTAAGGCAAATCGAGTTTGATCGGGCTTGTGACGACGGATCGAAGGATCCAAACAATATCCATTGTCTATCAATAGACCCTGGCACTGAAAATGGGATGGCTCTCGGCACAATACCACCGAGAATTAGGCGTCTAGTCGGTTCCGTTGAAAGTTCAACTGTGATGCTGGTGAGCGGGTGAAAACTAGTGTCAAGAAACTTTTGAACACTTGAAACAGTTGGGAGATAATCCGGATGATTATTTTGTCATGCAAATACTGATGACGACTCATATCATGACTGATATCACGACTGATATCATGAGAAATGACAAAATGGAGATCCAGAAATTTTCTAGTGCCACGACTTTTTTGCGATCCTTATTCGACGCTAACTGAAACAATAATTGTTCAACTGAATCTAATTGCTCTTTAAAATATTCTGCCATCTAACCGAGTCCGATCACAAGATTGATTGAATCATCTGGTGTGGAAATAATTTATTTTGAAACCAATATTCAGCGAAAAGTTGAAAATTTTAATGTCGGGGCAATTTTAGCTGCCAACGTTGGGGCAATGCTGGCTGATTGATTGAATCATCTGTTGTTGAAGAAATTTATTTTAAAACCAGAATGCGCGGAAAGGTAAAGGTAAATAAATTTGACGTTGGGGCAATGTTGGCTGCCAACGTTGGGACAATTTTGAAGTCAATAAATCATTGAATTAAATTAAAAATACATCGTCATAGAAATTCCGTTCGGTAGAATATATTCTTGCTAATTTATTGGCAAAAATATATTGACCATTGTGTCGAAAGCAATTTTCCACTTGTTTTCTCTGCATTAAAAAATACCGTTCCCATTTTTATTGTTCCCACATATGACTGCTACAGAGCATTGATCGCGGGAGTTGGTAGCAACCTGTCTCTCCCATCCTGCGTGAATCAGGATCAAGAACTGTCAGGCGGTAGCAATTCCTCCATTGTCGCGGTTGGCCAACACGTCCAAGGGAGAAATTCTAGTGGAGACAGCCAGGCACATGGAGGATGCACACATCACCCAAATTTACTGCAACTCACGCCTGTCAATACTGCATCAAGTCCCCTAACTTCTTTAGATGCATCAAAAGGTACATGTCACATCGATTTTTGTGTTGAAATTTTTTTACCATTTTCCACTGCTCTGAGTGATTCACCCACGATAATTCAACGGAGGGGGGACTGCAGAGGGCACGTAAACAAAACGCAATTCTGGACGGTAGCAATTGTGTTATGAATGCATGCATGGGTATTAAAGTTTGGAGGTAAAATTGAAATGAATTTCCTAATTGGGAAATACCAGAGAGGAACTCTATTGTTTCTCGTAATTCAATAGCGCAAATTTGTAATCGAAAAATGATTGTTTTTGGTGAAATGATTTTTGTGCAGAGTGAGAGTGAGACTTTTTACTGAACGAATACAATATCCATTTATTCAGTCCAATGGATCATCTACTTAGAACGAATGGGTTGGAACAAGAATTTCGTGGAATGAGACAAGCCATGTACGAATTTCGGGAACTTCGTGAATCAGAAGTAAAATCATAAATCAGAAGCAAAAGTCATGGAAAGGAAAATCTCCAGGAATTCCTGAAATATGATCGTCGCGTGCTCTCAATCGCAATGAGTTTAAAGAAAAGAAAAAACTCCATTCTCATATTCCAAACTCGTTTCATCGTTCCGACAAAAATTGTCATTTTTTTAAACATTCGTTGTTTCTAAATAAATAATTGAAATTGTTTAAACTTTCGGAAATCTTATTTTTTTAAGTTCAAAATCGATTTCTGCTAAAATTCTGAATATGAGTAAATTTGTTACGATTACGAACAAATCAGTAGCGAGTGGTAAAACGGTATAAGTCAATTTTGACTATTGACCAGTTTTCAATAAATATCTCGGAATCTAAGGGAGATAGCAAAATTTTTGTTATGACCTTTTTTGTAGAGCCGATTGAGAGCTACAACAAATGTAATTACGAAAATTTCGCTATCTTCGTTAGATTCGGAAATATTCCTCAAAAACTGAATTGGGAGATAAGTCGACTTAAACCGGCTTACCACTTCGCTACTGAAATGATTTTTGTGGTGAAAAATTGATTGTTAATAAATTATTTATAGAAAATGCTTCTAATTTTCAAAAATTCTAATTTTTAAATTATTTCACCAATCTAATTCCAAAAGTAAACTTTCTCTTTTTTCCAGATTTCTAAAATGTTTTCTAACAATTCACTATCGAAATTCAAATTCAGACCTGCAAAGTTTAAATAATAAACTCATTGTAAAATATCCGGAAACTTATGGTCGAACGGGGCTCAACTGAGAGCTCTGATGTTCGACTACAAACCTAGAAAAGCATTTCGCGGGAGAAAAAATACCCAAAGGACTTAAATGTCCTTAAATCGAATTCCACGTCTTTTTCTCAACAACGTATCGTTGACTGATCGACCAACCGTGGCATTTTCTTAGCTCGAGAGATAATTTCAGTCGTACTCCCTCTCACTATGATATCGCTTCCAGGCAAACATCGCAATCAGCGTTCGGCATTTCCGTCAACCCGTCACCATTCACGAAAGCATCGCGCCGAATTGATCTCAACAGTAAGCACACTTTATGCAAAACTATTGGTTGTCGTGGGTGTGACAGTGCCCGTAACGGCCAGCATAGGTCAACCGGTGCCCGCCGCTCTCGATCAGGTAGGGTTGTACATTCCATTCATTGGTCTTTCATTTAACAATAAATTATTATCGCATCAATGGTGCTCGCAAGAGGATCGGGCCGGGGGAGGGGGGGGGGGGGGGAGGGAGTGCCCCTCCTGCCTTCCGCGGACCAAACCGCACTGGCATTATGATACTTTATGTTGATGCGGGCATTAACGCGAGAGCGTTGTGCTGGCACGGATCATTAACGCTCATGGCCTCTCTGTGACTCGTATATACTCATTCAGGGGTTTATAACGCTTTTCTTTTTTCCTCCTCCCCCTTGCCGTGCACTCCCTCTGCACTTCAATATTTGTCTTATTTACTTTGTAGAATCATGATGGGTTTTAATGTCTTCTTTTACATTTCACACTCTCATTCAGGGATTTTATCTCTACCTGTACTTAGTCAGCGGTGGATTTGTCATCACGATGTATACGATTTTACTGCGTGATAAAGCTGTGAATAAACTACTGGTGCACAATGATAAACGAGAGGGTGTATTTTTGTATGATGAATATGGTAACAAGCGTCGAACTTTTCAGGTAATCAATCATGAGATTCTAAGTCGTAAAAATCGGAGGGGCGAGGGGAGGGGAACGGACAATTGCTGGGGAAGACTCCGGTGAGCTTGAGTGAATGATTTTTCTGGGATGTTTCCGTGGAGCCTTGGAGATTAATTGAATTTTTTAATTTATGGTGATTTTTTTGAAGAATGGGAGGGAATCGGTGAAGAATAGTGAAATATGAAATCACTATTTTCTTTCAATTTCAAAAAGATGTATGAATCAATTGTATTTGATCGACCGAAATAGTCAACTTGAAAGATATGTTTATATCTTTAACTCCAAATCTATATCTATAACTCCAAAAGTGCCATTTTTTATTTCGACATTTCTGGAGCCTCCGAGTGTTTTATTAGCAACAGGAACGTTAATCGTTATAAAAATTAAGGAATGTGATCGAAACTAACTTTCATTTTTGAGGCCTTGCAGAGGCTCGAATAAGCCTTGACGTACTGAGCCTCAATACGCAAAGCCTGGGCTAGGCCTGAATTGAACCTCGGCAATGGCCCCTTGAATCGCCCTCATTTCAGGCTCCAGTGAAATTGTTTCCATCGTCAACCTATATAATTCCTACCTGGGAACTAATCTTTTCCCACAAATATTTCTCCAACTAGGGGGCTGCGCCCCCTGCTCGCTCCCGTGATCCTTATGACCCTTGTGATCCTTAATCTGACCTTAAAACTTGAAAAAAAGTTTATAGATTTGAGAAACCTGAAGGTTAGAAACCACGGTTTCTAAAATTTAGAATCTTTTATCTAAAGCTAATCTACTTTTACTCTCTGCGCAGTGCATTATAAAAACTTCTAAAAAATCTGAGAATTTTCTGAGATTGAAAAAAAAACCGGAAGCATCCCAACACCCAACCCCTCGCTTAAAATACAATACCACGCATAAAAAAGATGTTCTCATGTTTCCCCTCATAATCGCGAGAAGAATAAAACTTCAGAAAGCGATCGTACTTGATGTCGGCCATTTCTCCCTCACCGATAATTGTTCTCCCGAATGTGCTCCCACCCTTAATGCTCCCAGGGCAAAAAGTAAAACGAGAAGTTGTGTGAAAATGGTTCAAAAAAAAAGCACAAACTCAAAATTAACAGCACGGCCAGCAGTATGGAAGCTTCTGCTTGCGTCTGGGTGCCATCGGCTTTGGTGCTGGCTCGTTAGTATTTACTGGATTGCAAATCGGGGCGGAAATAGCGTCTGCCGAGCCATTTAGGGCGATTACACCGAGCGCAAGACTCCTTCTTGTTACCGCTCAAATGCACTTCATATTCCTGAACAGCAAAGATCTGGAGTTAGCCAAACATGGTGCACTCGCCAAATTGGGACTCATGCACATGATCGCTACAAACATCTGCGAATGGCTTCAGGTATTTATTCATCGCGCCGTCAATTATTTTTTTCGTCTCATTAATGATCTGTAGATAATGCGTATCATCTCATCTTTTTTCTTCCCATTCCATAATATCCTCAAGGTACATTTGAAGAGAGGAAATTCAGTAAATAAGACGACACTCGATAACGTGTGTAATGTGAGATCAAATAAAATAAGATGAGATGAGAGGATTTTTTAAAAGATTTTTTTTCATTCAAAAATTCACTTTACATTACCTCATCTCATTTTATCTGATTTTCATATTATCTTGACTTGCTGTATAAGATAATCTCTCTATTTTATAAACATCCATATGAACTTCTGGTGATAAAAATTTGGTACTCGAAATTAAGACCCCGAAATTAAGGATCAGGAGGGTCAGAACATGGGTTATGGGGCTCAGATTAAGGATCGCAAGATTAAGCATCAGATAGAGGGTCCAAATGAGGGTAACAAGAGTTAGAATATGGATCATGAGGGTCATATGGAGATCATATGGGCGACATAAGGGGGTTCGCGAGCGGAGGGAGCAAGGGGGTGAGCCCCCTAGTACCAGAATAATTTTTTGAGTCAGAAGATTTAAAAAATGGAATTAAAAAAATTAAATAGAAAAAATAATGTCACCTCAAACTATCTAATCTTGCCTACGGGATAAGATGATACGACAAGATGAGATGAATTTTTAAATTATTCTCCAGAAGAGAAATTCCATTGTTCAAATGAAAAATTTATGAAAACAGGCACTAGTCGAAGAAACACGTGACGAGATATCCCACCTAGAGTCAAAAGACAACACAACCGGCGAAGGAATCCTAAAGAATCTCCTCCGCGACGCCTCGCCCTTCCTCTTTCCCTGTACAATAGAATTCAGTCTAATCTGCGCTGTAATTCTCTACGAAATGTGGAAGCGAGTTGACCGTGTGGTAGTTGTCAAATCAAACACATCAATGAGGTCAGTTCACCAACTGAGTATCGACTGCAGCAACGCTCACAGGTAAACTCCACCCGATGCACCTAATGGCCACTTTCAATTTGACCCCTATACTCTGTTTAAATTACAGAGGCCTCTTCGGTGGTATTCTCATCATAGCAGCCACTGTTCTCAGTCTCATAATGTTCTTCGTACTGAAGGATGCGAAACCCAAGATGGCTATTGAACAAGTAACTGCCCTCGAGACGGCCATTTTAACTGCCGGTATTGTCCAAGTATTCACCAAGAATCATACACTGATAGAATGATTCATTTATTCCAAACGAGATTCGTTAACTATTAGTGAATGATTGAGTTGAATATGACCAAACAAATATTCGTTAATTAACGAATGGTTCACTTGAAAGGTGAGAGTCGAGTCAGACGAGACTTCTCAAATATGCATTCCTTAACTATTAACGAGTAAACATTTGATGAGACTAAATAGACCCTAGCCTTCAAGCAAATCGATTTGCTAACAATAACTAATCCTGTCTGTCAGTGTATTGCCTTCGATTGCACTACCAAGTTATGAGAGGTCTTTTATGATACGTTGTATATATTTTTTTATATCTAAGGAGCTATAGCCGCTGTGAGTGGTACACTCAAGTTACGGAGATTGGAATGGAAGGACACAAAACCACCGCATCTTGATTCAACTTTACTGGCAGCAGCACAAGCTGGAGTCTATCTGCATTGTCTGTTTGGTGCTGTTGGTGGGGTATTAACAATGGGCCCAACTTGGGGACTTTCACTCGGAGCTGATTTTATCACTTTGGTACAGAGCACCAGTCAAACACTACTCATTAAGGTAAGATTCTCTCTGAGGGCGGATGTTAACGAGTTTTAGGTGGAATTGACATTTTCGGGAAAAGAGCATTCATCGCGGCGGGAAATTTCAGGAGTGCACTGCGAGAAGAATGAGCAGTTAGTTTTGGTGATTTAATCCTTAGTGTATGGTTTAACCAAGTGATAACGCAAGATTTTTGCACAATTTTTATTATCTGGTGGTGTAAGAATAGTTTCATTGGAATTTCGTTCTGGCTTGGTTGAATTATCGAGGAGGAAAGTATGAACTTTCCGTGCAGGGGTGTGAAAAAATTAATTTTTCAATGTTTCCTGAAAGTTTTAAAAGCGATTTTTTGTCGAATATGAAAGAATATCCATAAATTCGATTTTTCTCCTTGTCTTTTGACAGAATGAATAGAATAAATGGCAAAAATTGATAATTGGAGACTACAAATTTTATCTGATTATTATCAAATAATTATTGATTTATAAACAACGAATGTGTAGAAAGATAATAATTTTGTGCGAAATATAATTGGAATGACGCTGAATATTCATGATTTTGTTCAAATTTTTCTCACGCAATTTAATTGGCAAATTTGATAATTGAAAATGATTAAATCCCAAACTGTAAAAGCTACTTGGTTATCCTTAAATGAATTTTTTTTATCAATATAAAAGAATTAGTACAACAAAAAATTATCGAAATCAATAGAAAAATGGTTAATAATGAATTTCAATAGATTCAACTGCATCATTACTTCGATTTGCAAATAGTCATTTTAATTGAAATCTGAAAGTAATGAAACTGCTATTTCATCAATATTAATACTATTGGACATTCCTAACGCTGCTGGATTGCATTTTATCGAGTTTCATTTTCTGTCCCTTCCAGATTGCCTGGCGCAGACAGTCCTCGTCGAATGCTAAACCCGGCAAGGAGCTTATTACTTTTCTGATTGTCATGAACATTGCCCTGTGGATTGTAAATAGTTTCGAGAAATCTCGGGCCGATGTCAGGCCCGAGCACCTGGAGTTCTTCGGGGTTTGGGCGTGGACCATTATAACACATGTGTCAATGCCTCTTGCTATATTCTTTCGGTTTCACTCGGCTATTTGTATGTTCGAGGTTTGGAAGAGTTGTTACAAATATAGGCCACCGATTGTGTCACCAACACGCAATCAATCTCATAAGTAAATTTCTAGTCAAGGTTTCGTGTTTTCATTGAATAATCTCTCAAAGAAAACATTAGAGGACACGATATACACTGAGAGAAAAACAGCAGAGTTCTCAAACAAGTCCTACTTGTGCCAAAAAAATATTTTATTTGCGTTAATCTATACTGATATTCGTATTCGAGAAAATTGTTTACTAGTCTACTATCTCCATATGTCACCATATATCACTTATCAATTGATTCGATGAGTCTAGTTTATTGTCTAGATTTAATTTGAGAAGTGAAAGTTGAGGGTCCACGATCTCCCATATATCCACGATAGAAATTACCTTGAATCCACGGGAAAACGTCCCGTATATCCTCGGTCAAAATGATGGCCTCCCTTATGGCATCCAAATGTCAAAAAATTGTTTTTTCGTGAAACGATCGAATATTTGAGGCATTCTCTTAGCTCAATAAATTATTGTCGTGTCGTTCAGTCGGTTTGTCTCTCAGTGTGCATTCTCAAACGCCCGAATCACCCACAAGTGATGACGAAAAAAACACCAATCGATGTTTTTCAACGCTAAAGCAATATAGAGCGCGCAGAACTCGAGTACATGCCTCGACGATGGCCACTCCGGTTCGTACCGACAGTTTGATACGGTTTACGGGTAAACACATTTGGGTGGCAATCACGTCATGGGAGTGAGAGGCAGTTGCTGTAGTGCCACGAGACGTTCGATAGATACAGGGAAGACGAAGAGGCCAAAGCAAGTGAAGTGTAGTGAGGGAGCAACGGTATAAGGGTGCTAGGGCTGGAAGCTGACGGTGGGTCGCATCTGAAGAGCTCTCATGGCAACCCTTTGTTGCTGTAGTTCGGTCAACTCAAACCAGTTGAAAGAGCTTCGTGATTTACTTGCTCAACAATTGAGGGGCTCGTCTTGCTTTTCGCTGGAGGATGTGGGGTTTTTTTGCACGCATCAGTCAGTCAAAAAGCCTTACAACTTGAAAAATTGTCATTTGTTCACTTGCTGCCTTCTTCACTAAGAGAAAAAATGAGCTCTGCCGAACAACTATATGTTCCCCGGAAGAGATGTTTTGTCTTATTGAATCAATTTATTTGAGGACAAAGAAAAGTTTCCACCAAAACATGATAATTTTCGTGGTAGTGATTGTTCTCGTGAGACATTTATATGTCATTCGGGTAAATTAAGTCGTTCTGCAGAGAATTATATGAGGCTCAATATTAGGGAATTAATGAGAAATATTGTTTTCACAAAGTCGATTGGATGAAATTATAAATAAGTTGGGGGCTACGCCCGCTGCTCGCTCCGCTCGCCAACCCCCATATGGCTCATATATGACCTTCATGATCCCTATTCTGACCTTTGTGACCCTTAATCTGACCCTTATTTGGATCCTTATTCTGACTCTTGTGACCTTTAATCTGACCGTTGCCACCCTTAATCTCTGACCCTGTGATCCTTATTCTGACCTTTTTGACCCTCGTAATCTGACCCTCGTAAAACTCATTCTGACGCTCATTATATCTCTCGTGACCCTTAATATGACTCTCGTGACCCTCATAAGTCTTATGCTGACCCTCATGACCTATATTTTGACCCTTGTGACCTTTGATTTTGGAGTCTTAATTTCGAGTACCAAATTTTCATCACCAGAAGTCGATTTGGATTTTTATTATGAATAAGGCTTTCAATCTGACTAGATGCTGATGGAATGAATTATCAAATCATTTCATAATAATTATCAATATTTTCTCCTCATTTTCAATCGTTCAATTGTGAAAAAAAATCAATTTTAACGAATTGATCAAAAATGAGAATTAATTAATTATCAATATTTTCATTATCAGTATTTACGTGATTCATAAAGTAAAACCACATGAAACAAAACAAATGGATGCAGTAGAGTTATGAATTCCAAACTTCTAGCGACTCGAAATAACTAATTGAAAATGGACTCGACCAATAAATGGATCAATAAAATTACGATCAACGTATTTTTAAAAAATCCTAAATTTGCTCAACACGTCGAATTCCTCCTAAAATCCTCTAAAATGTCATCAATACCATCATCACCTCCACCTTTTACCCAGAGCCTGAAATACTTGTGAAGTGCCATCTGTGAAAAATGGTAAAAGAAAATGCTGGAGATGTTGAGAATAGCATCCCAGAAAAGCGTATGATCCTCGTAGAGGTAAAAACCAAGGGGGGAAAATAGACACATAGAAAACGGCCGAGAGAGGATCCTTGATATATCCGCCAAACACAGCAGGGATCCGTGTACCGCCTTCGCGGATTTATCGAAGCCAAGGATAATGGATGGCCTTCCACCGTTGCCGACATCCTAGCAGGCCGAGTAAACGGCTCTAAATAATACAACGTGGTGACACAGCTTGGTCTGACGTTTTTAAAAAATTCTCCGCCCGACGTACATCATCACAAAAACCGAGGGGCCATTCATTTGGAAATTCGGTGACACAATAATTACTGATTTCACGTGATGAAACAATTTTTCACAATTTCGATAATTCTCATCACTCGGTGGAATAAAAACCATTAGATTCAATTGTCTGATAATTTCCATCAGTAATAACAGAATTGATGAGACTGAGGGTAAAAATTCCAAGTGATGGGCGCCATTATGTTTCCGGCGGAAACGAAGTCTTCGTGACTACCTTGCGTGCCTCCCCCTCTTCACACTGTATAGTCACTTTCAGCCTCAACGAGAACGCGAAAATCATATTTATATTTCATCTCCCACATTTCCAAAGTATAAACGATGAGACTTGGGGGATGAGTAACTCAAAATAAGTAGCTTCAAACTGAAAATATCAGACTACAAAGTTATTACAAAAATTTACCAATATTTATGTAAAATATTTCGTTTGAATAGCACAAAAATTATTTGATGAAGGGAGAAAACATCAATAGTTAAGTCTCAATAGGTTTCAGAGAAGAAAATTTAGTCTGTAGAATTTTTATTCCTTTTTTCGGTCTTTTCGAGATTTTTTATAGATTTTAATCTTCTGCCTAATCTCAAAAAGTTCATTTTTTCATGAGTCTATGCTATTTTTGCACTTCTAGATTAATTATTCAATCAGAATAATTCTCTTCTATCAACTTTCATTTAGAATTTAATCTTCCAACTCCAAGTTATGTTTATTGACTTTAAACAAATTTTTCTTTGCATGACTTCTCGAAACTTTTAGTATTTTCAGTTATTTTCTGATCTTTTGACACGAAAACAACGATTTCTAGAGCCAAAGAATTCTCGCTGAAGGATATTCAAGTCCTTTTTTGTGCAGTCGAACCTCAGAAGCCGCAGCTGCTTGTTTTACAATGATTTTATTATTTAAACTTTGCAGGCCTGAATTTGAATCCCGATATTGAACCGTTAAAAAACATTTTAAAAATTTAAAAAAAATTATGAAGTTTATTTGTAGAGAAAGATTGATGAAACGATAAAAAAATTGCAATTTTTAAAAATTACAAGCATTTTCTATAAATAATTTATCAACAATCAATTTTCCACCATAAAAATCATTTATTCGGAATCAAACAAATTTATTGATACTCAGAATTTTACCAGAAATCCATTTTATGCCTAAAAGAATAAGGTTTCCTAAATTGAAGCAATTTCAATTATTTATTTGTAAACAATGTGACAGAAAATATAGTTTTTCCCTTCGCGACGACGCGAAAGGACTGTCAATTTTATTTATTTATAAAGGGTCAAAATTTCACTAATCCAGTCGAATATTCATTTAAAACTAGAAGACCTGTCTTAACAACGATTGTTTAAAAAAATAATAATCCTGTGCAAAACGTAATTTGAATAACACTGAATATTCACGACTTTTCACAAAATTTTCTAACACAATTTAATTAACAAATTTGATGATTGAAAATGGTTGAATCAATAGGGTGGTCTTAAACTGTAAAAGATACTTCGATACCCTTAAATGAATACAAAAATTTTCAATAAAGATTTCATCCGCCAGATGAAATAAAATGCAAGACACTTCACAAGAGGAGTAAAATACTCCAAGGAAAATTTAATTTTACCTCATAATTTGTTGTGTGTACAATGACGAGTGGAAAATTGAGAAGACTCACTCGGTATTCTGTCGACGGAGGTTCGTTTAGTTATCCCCTGGTCAGGAAAACTATCCCAGAAGGTCATTGAGTGCACGTCAGGTACGCACGCGTCCTTTCACATACTTTTTCCCCACTCTTTTTTTTTAAATTAATTTTTCTAGAACTCGAGGATAATCCGATTATCCAGCCTTACCAGAGGCTTCCGGATGAGGAAGTTTTGTCCCCGCTGCCATTCAACAGACAGCACATTTATTCCAGTGTATTTCAGGTGTCATCATCCCCCCCAATCCTTTAATTTTTCAGATTTGGGGATTATGGAATCATCTTAATGGTGATTTTCAGGTTTATTTTGCTTTTGGCTCTTTATCTCTGGAGCATTGTGAATTGGTGAATGGATATTATGACATTATCTGTGAATTTTCAGTGAACCCTTTATGTAATGGGATCAATGCACGTTGATTTCTAAAGAGACAATACTTACCAGTCCTGATAGTCGGGTATATAAGGGGAAAAGCTGGCATCTAATCCGGGCATACAGCGAAAATTACATCTTGGTAGACCACCTGGTATTACCAAAGCTTCTCATCTTACCAATAGCTTCCTCGACTTTTACCACTTAATTATCTGGCACTTTTGGAGCTTCATCTTCTGTCTATGTAGCACCTCATTATCTTGGGAAAATCGAAGGATTTTCCGGGAATTTTTACATTTTTTGTGAGAAATGTGTAATCATCGAATTGTCTTCGGAATTTCATAGAGGGGGAGTATTTTGGGAGGTGTTCGTGACTTGAACGTAAGCACTTTTTGATTAAGAGGATCCAAGCGTCTTTTACAGTTTGGCGCAGACCACACTATAGATTCAACCATTTTCAATCATCAAATTTGTTAATTAAATTGCGCGAGAAGAATATGAAAAAAATCATGAATATTCAGCGTCATTCAAATTACGTTTTGCACCGGATTATCATTTTTTTAAACATTCGTTGCTTATAAACAAATCATTGAAATTGTTAAAATTTTTTGAAACCTTATTTTTTCAGGGGTGAAATAGATTTTTGGTGAAATTCAGAATATGAGTAAATTTGTTACGATTCCGAACAAATGATTTTTCGAGTAGAAAATTGATTGTTTATAAATTATTTATTGACAATGCTAGTTAATTTAAAAAATTTCAATTTTTAAATTATTTGATTGAATCAATCCATCAAATTGATCAAAAACGCCAATAAAATTTAAATCTAGGTTCGAATAAACGCGTTATAACGAGTGATTCAAACGAAAATAATGTTTCTGAGTGCATTAAGGGGTAAGATACCCCATTTTGGAAATGATTCACACAAAAAAAGATCAATCACCGATACATTCGAGGTAATTTATTCTCCAGATGGAATTTACTCATTATTTTTTGTGTGAAGTCTTCCATTTACCAATTTTTCCTGAAATTATGATAAATAATTAATGTCTCACGAATTTCAAAATTGGATACCCGTAAAAAAAACAACACGCGATACCGATACGAAACAGCGAACGCCCTCTCCCGTATTCATCGACCCGTTGGCAATAATGAACTTCCTGAGGGCACTCTCTCTCACATGAAACCCTTAAATCACTGATAAAATCCTTTATGTCCACTGTTATCACCGATTTTGAACGTGAATTTCAATTTTGTAAAAATAAAAAAGTTGAAAAAATCGACGAATGGTATACAATACTCACGTTTCGGCCTAGAATTATACAGCAGGCGCCGTCTTGCAACGTCGTAAAAACATCGGCTACGTAGAGACGAGAGATTTTCACTGTCTGTTTTATCGTAAAATTGTTGCTGTCCATCATTAATAATTAATTACCGCACCATTTATATTTATTTCCATAATTTCGCACTGTCGTGTCTATAAAATATGTCACGTGAACGCGAGATGCTTGATCTGGGGGAGTTTTATTCCTCTGGTGTCCGTAATTTCATCAGAATTACCACAAAGTTTACCACAGACTATCGTTTGTTTTCACGTTTGTTTTACTATTTAAAGCGTTAAAATCCTAATTTTAGATTATTCACACTGTCGTCGCTGTTTTATATTCTTCAACTTGTTACACTTATTACAGTTGGTCTCCTTTTTACATTTTAGATTTTTAATTCACAGTTTTTAAGGTATTTAAAAATTTGTTTTAATGCTGAATTTTTTAAGTTATATAATAATTTGATTCTTTGTCGATCGTAATTTGGGCAGTGCCACAGTACATGATCATAAGTTTGACATTTTGCTTCGCTTGAGCAGTTTGAATCTTTATAATTCAGTAGCGAAGCGGTAAACCGGGTTGAGTCGTTTTTTACTATTGGCTAGTTTTTGACGAATATCTCGGAATCTAAAAGAGATAGAAAGATTTTTGTCATGACCTTTATTGTAGAGCCAATAGAGCGTTATAAAAAAAGTCATGAGAAAAATTTTGCTATCTCTCTTAGATTCCGAGATATTCAGCAAAAACTGGCTAATAGTCAAAATCGACTTAACTCGGGTTACCGCTTCACTACTGAATTATACCCACGCTCTCCAAGGACGTTGCAAGATGGTAGTGATGGGCTCTTATTCTGTTTTCAAGTTATTATCACATTTTTAGTCATTACATCAATGTTTTTGCCCTCAAGCCCCTCGAAAATACGAAGTCACACGCACGAAAAAATTTACTAGAAAAACCTATCGAATTCGTCAGAAAATTCTATTGAATTTCAACCAAACTTTCTATTAGTTTTTGGCTGATTCTATTGACAGGTTCAGTAGAAAACATTTAATAGAAAAAGTCAACAGAATTCGATTTTTCCATATAACTTATTCTTTTCATATATTTTCTATAGAATTTGCTCGACTCAAATTTTCTAAGTTTTTTTCATTCTATTTTTATTTTCTTCTCATCAAGAAAATCAAACGAAAAAACTCGGAAAATTTGAGCCGAGGAAATCTATAGAAAATATCTCAATAGAATAAGTTGTACAGAAAAATTGAATTCTATTGACTTTATCTACTGAATATTTTCTATTGACCATTTCAATAGAATCGGCCAAAAACTCATAGAACAGTTCAATAGAAATTCAACAGAATTTTCTAACCAATTCGCTAGATTTTTCTATTAAATTTTGTCATCCGTGCAACGCCAAATACTTCGAGAGTAAGTCAGCCACCATCTTGATCATAGTCACACAAGATTTTTGTCATTGAACTTTTATTCCCTCTGGCGTTCGTAATTCACAAAAATAAAGACTAATTTCGCAATAAAATCATTCCTGCCTGTTGTTTTCACCTTACTATCACATTTTTAATCATTATTTCATTGTTTTTACCTTCAATTTCCTCGAAAAAAGTATTGATGCCGATCATTACCAAGCGATCATCGCGTCATTGTCTGACGATTCTCTCGACGATTTCACTCCCTTGTCTCTTTCCCAATAACAGGCCGCGCGTGCTGCGCACGCGCCTTTTCACTCCTCATGTAATGGCGCTTCGGTTTCAGTCTTACGCTTACGCTTATTCGAGATTTTCGAGATATTTCGAGATCGATTTCCTTTCTCCTTTTTACGATAAAAAATAAAACGATAGGACAGTGAAAAAAAATGCCGGCCGGCATTTTCGTCGGTAAAACCACTCCCCCCTACCAACAGTCGCATCACCGCAGCGGCGCCGCCACTCAACACACAATTCACATGATGAACGTAAATAAACGAGTCCCTTTTCAACTTGTCGCGGCAATATCCACCCGAGGATTATCGCAGCCCAGAACAAAAGGCTTAAACATGAATAGAAACGTGACACTGACAGGTAACCCACTCAAATTACGATAAAAACCCTCATGTATTGATATTCAGGTTGACCTCGATAGTTGATAAATTCCAGTGATTCCCAGGGGATGTTGGAGAAAGAGAGAACAACATTCATCTAATTGTCACTTCACAAATGAATTGCCATTCCCCAAATGACAACTAGACGAGTCATGTTTTTTTCTTCTCCAACACCTCTTTCATTAATTGAAGTAATGAATCCGTTCAATTGCCATGAATTAATGGGTAGAACCCCTGATTACCGAGTGGCTCAAGCACATCCAAGAAGTAAACAACAAGCAGGAAGACATTATCAAGACTGGGCGAGAGTTCTACATACCATTCATGGGTGAGTATTTACAAAATAACGCATTGTATTCTTCGAACGTGTCTCTAATTTTACTCTCTCGATGATAGTACAGTCGTAGTCGTGGTAAAAGCATTTTTATCTATATTATGAAGTGGTCAGAAGGGTCACAAGAGTTATAATGCGTGTCAAAATATGGGCCACAAGGGTCAAAATAAGGGTCAGAGGGTCAGAATAAGGGTCATGGGGGTCATATGGAAGTTGGCGAGCGGAGCGAGCAGGGGCCGTAGCCCCCTAGTCTGTTATAACAATTGATTACCAATTAATAATTGTCTATAAATGATGAACATGGAATAAATAATGACGATGAAATGATGACGATGGAATAAATAAAATGATGAAGTAGACAAGAAATTTGATGTGTCATTACAGATTATTAATAATCAATAATAAGTAATGTAATGAAAGAGGTAACTATTATTATGAATTGTCAATGATTATTGTTGTTCACTCGATTGTGCAGCCATTCCCATGACGGTCGTGGAGAAGGTATTCATCATCGCTGACTCCTTCGCCCTTGGGCCCAGGACAAAATACCTGTCACTGTATATTTACGAGAAATTCGTGTGCAATCAGTTCTGGGAGATATACAAGGAGCACGAGACACACCCTGACTCTGAGGAGTACAAACGCGCTTGTGAGAGGGTCTCCAAGATGCTGATGCTGAGGCTCATGAGTAGCATTCAACTTGCTAGCAAGATGGATTCTCATATGCTGGGGTTGACCATCACTCAGGTAATTTTGGGGAAATTCTGTCTCTTTTATCCACTTGTACTTCTGTAGTTTTTGATTATTAAGTTCATTAAATTCATGTTTTTGAATTATTGATTATGAAATGTTAGAATTCAAATGTTAAATTTTGAAAAATTGATAATTTCAAAAGTCAATAATTATTCATCTTTGCATTATTTACTAGAAGAGATATTTCCTGAGGTTTTTTTCTCATAATATGGTTAATGAAATAAATGAACAATTAAATATTTGTAGAATTTTACAAGCTGCTAAATAAACAAAACCCTCACATCACGTTTTCTCTCAAATCGTTTGAATGAAAATGAAAATAAATTCCCAATTTATTGTCCTTCATCATTTTCTTCCATCACTAGGTGCTTTCTGCTCTAGACAGGCTAGAGCCCAACCACCAGTTTAACCGATTCGCAGTTGTGCAATCAGAAATGAAAGTATTCCAGACAACAAACTTCAAAATACCCCTCGTCACCCCTCTCGACTGCATCGAGGTGCTCCTGGCAGCACTGAAGCTCGATAAACTGCCTAAAGTATACAACACAGCTGTTCATATCCTCGACATGACATATCTTCAGGTAAATCAAACATCTGAACCTCCAGAAACATAAGTATTTTTATAATATAGAGAAACTGTTGCGAGAATATTCTTATTTTATTATTTCAGCACCAGCAATTATTCTCCCAGTTGCAGTTGACATCTCACAGTTCCCTAGCTAAAACGAAAGAGGACAAAGTCAATTTCATGGCGATGGAGTCAGACATGCTCTTCCTGAGTGCTGCTGTAATCCGTTGTACGATGGCAATATTTCGTGCTAAGGAGGTATTACTCAACGATCTGGTGAGGAGGCTTGAGGGTCTAGTTAAAATCGATAGGAAAGACATTGATAATCTCGGAAAGATGATTTTCGCCATGCTGGATGTGGACAATGTCAGTGATAATTAATTAATCAATTAATCGTGAAGAACTGAAATGAAATAAAAAGTGAAATAGCCTATTTTGAACCGCTAATATCTCGAGATCGGCAGAGTGAAATCGAACAATTTTTTTTTCGTTTTGAATATATTTTTTCAGGCTTTCAAATGAGCGTTGACTCATTCAAATCGCGTCTTTCAGTCCGGAGATATTTATAATTAAAGACAGCCCATTTTCCCTTACCCTTCCACTCATTTATGTTGAACTTCTTTATTAGTTTTTCAAGCAATCAATTAATTAATTGATGTCTAGTAGTTGATAAATAGTGAATCAAACACGAAATCTTCCTCAGGGCCGCTGTGATGTTTAATTAATTAATAATTAATCGTCAAGTCATTCTATTCCTTAACCATTAATTCGTTAATTAATTACATAAGTAGTTAATTAATTAATAAACCTGAATTTAAAGAATCTGTTGGACAACATAAACAGTGAATTAAACACACGAAAGTGTTATATCAGAAACTATTTATATACGAGGATATATAACTCTGAACTCTGTAAATATTGAGACAAAAGACTGTTGACTAACGTGTTTTGTTCAATAAAATAAAAAAATGATCATTTGTATTTTATTTGGCATGCGTTAAGACAAACTCCAGACCTAAATCCTTCGTGAAATAAAATCAAAGTTCAGAGTAATTTAAAAGGGAATTGAATTTATAAAAATGCCGACTCTGGAGGAACAATTCACCGCCTTTTCCAAATTCGGAGACACTAAATCGGATGGGAAGCAAGTGACGCTCTCCCAGAGTGACAAATGGATGAAACAGGCTCAGGTTTTTGATAAGAAGATCACTACCACCGATACTGCTATATGCTTTAATAAATTCAAGTGAGTAGTCCAATATGAAGGAAATGAAAAAACTAATTCTATTCGATGATTTGTTTTTTATGAATGACTTTCAATTGTCGATTTAAGAATTGGTTCAGAATTTTAATTAAAACTTTAATTATCGTTATTTTTTAACAATGGAGAGAGTAGATATTGAAAAGCGCATGAGACGAATTTGCAGAATTGAAACATTACGTGTTTTTCCAGTTTCAAAGTGAAAATAAAATGAAATTTTATTTATTCGAAATGAAATTCGAATTTTCGCCAACAGTGCATTAATCATAATGAATAAATTCCTCTGATCAAACTCTAATCATCCTCAGAAAATTGAAAAAGTAATGGATAAACACGAAAAGTAGAAAGTACCACCGACAATCGTCGATTTTCAGGCGAAAAGCGCTGGACGTAGAAAATTACCAAAAGTTCATCGACGATCTGGCGCAGAGTAAAGGCATTGACCCAAAAATTATCCGCGACAAGCTGACGTCGTGTGGTGCACCTGGACTATCGCACACGACGGTTACTTTCCCCAGTTCATGCCCCCACGTACGAGAAAATTTCATAGAAAAACCTAGTGAATTTGTTTAAAAATTCTATTGATTTTCTATTGAAAAATTCCGCGGCTCATCTCCGCATTTTTCTGCAATAGAAATGTTCAGTGGAAAGTATTCTACAGAAAATATCAATGGAATTAGATTTTTCTATAGGGATTATAAAACTTTTTTGTTTCATTTTTCATGATAAGAGAGAATAAATTGAGTGGAAAAAACATTAAAAAATTCATGTCGAGGAATTCTATAGAAAAAGTCTCAATAGAAAAATAAAATTCCGCTGATCTGTTCTATAAAATAGTTTCTGTTGAAAAAACACTCAATAAAGCTGCCCCAATAAAACAAAAAAATAATAAAAAATGATAATAAAGCTATTTCAATGCTTCAATAAAATCGACCAAAACCTGATAGAATTTTCAATAGAAGTCTAAGAGAATTCTCTGTCGGATTTGCTAGAAAGTTCTATTGAACGTTTTATTAGTCTTTGGTACAATAGATTCTATTGCAAAACTCCTATTGCAAGCTTAGCTACCCATTTTTGTCCAATTGAAAATGTGCAATGAAAAATATTCTACGGAAATATCAATAGAATTCGATTTTTCGGTGCAACTTATTCTACTGAAATTTTTTCTATAGAAATTCCTTGGTTGAAATTTTGTTCTTTGATTTTTTGAATGAAAAGAACACAATGTTCCCATTCGAGAGCAAAAATTAAGTGGAAAAAACTTGGAAAATTCTATCAAGGAATTCTTTAGAAAAAGTTTAAATGGAAAAATTTACATTAAAATCGATTTTCTATTGACCATATTTTCTATCTAAAAAAGTGCGCAATGAACCTTCGGAGTTCTTCAATAGAATCGGTCAAAAACTAATAGAATTTCCAGTAGCAATGCACTAGAAATCCAATAGAATTGTCTACCGAATTCGCTAGGTTTTTCTATGAAAATTTTTCGTCAGCCAACAACTCATCGCGTCGTTAACCGTCGCATTCCATTCCTTTTCAGAAAGTAGTTGATAGTGAAGCTGTGCGTAATCTAACGGACACATCCAAATACACGGGAGCGCACAAGGAGCGTTTCGACGCATCGGGAAAGGGAAAAGGAAAAGAGGGCCGTGCAGACACAGCTGCTAATGACGGTTACGTCGGGGGATACAAGCAGAAGGATACCTACGATAAATCGCGAAAATCTAAATAATATTTGCATTCCTCCAATTAAAATAAGTTGACGCACTCTGTTTCGAAATAAATTATCATCGAGGGCCGATGAAAATCGCCGGGGTTCGAGTACTTCTGAGGGAATTATCCCATCAACGTCTGAGCTAGGAGAATCAATAATTAGCATTGAATAAACAATGAAGGGGGGTCTAATGAGCTCATGGCGGCGACAATTACAACGAAACCAGCGTCTTTCGGAATAATAGAGAGACGTCTTCCCATTATTCTCTACTTTCATTCGATTGTACTCACGCGCTCGTTGCTCATTCATCCGGGAAATTTGCTCCAGTATTCAAAGTGGAACGTACGTTTCACCGATGGGATCGGGTTGAATCTTCTATCGGTTTTCAGCGAGATAATTCATCGATTTTTCCGGAATTTTTCGGGAATATGTGCGTAAGGTCATGAGCAGGGCCCGAGACTTTGTGCCACTACGATTGTTATCAACAATCATTCAATTGTTATCAACAATCATAGTGACACTAAGTCCCAGGCCCTGGTCATGAGGGTCAGATGGGATCATGTAAGTGAGCTTGAATGAAAAATTTGGGTTTCCCTTTCATCGATGATTTCTAATTATTCCTGAAATCACCTGATTTCTTTATGATTTCTACTGATTTCTGATGATTTCCAGAAGTCATTGGAAATCACTTGATTTCCGGTGATTTCTTCTTTGATTTCCAATCGAGTGGTCCAGTGATTTCCTAAGTGACCAGTCCTAAGTGACCGGTGGAATCAGACATCGGCATAATCGAAATTTTAAATTACAGTTACATTTGGAATAAGTCATTTGTTAATATTACTCATCAATTTTGGATTCTAAAAATAATCATCAATTCAACTTTTTAAATTCCGAATTATTTTTTCAACCAATAATTGAGAAATTGAATTACCAATTATTATATTATTTTTCAAATTTCAATTACGATAAATAAATCTAAATTACTGTAAGGTGCAACTTGTCATAATATTACTAAAGTAATCATCGATGCTATTGAAAAGAGCAAAAACAATTCGATCATATTACTAAACGATACAACTTGGATTTATTATACTATGAGATCACTCTCCCTGGAGAGACTCGTCTGTGCGTGTCTTACGACGAAACTCCAGTCGAATGTTTACTAAATAATACAAACATCTTATGGTGAGTGAGAATCTACCGTGAATCCACGGTAAAATTTATCGTGGAGCGTGCGAATAGACACGGCCAAGTTATTTGGGTAATGAACTTATTGCGTTTATACCCGTTTCATTAAAATACTTCCTACACCAGCAACGTCCTCCTCTTTCAATGACCGTCCTCAACCCCCCCGAATAAAAAACAAAACAGCAAGTGCACACGCACACATGCCCTCCTTACCTTCGAGAACACAGCCAAACAGCTTTTTCCCGCATAGCATGAGCTGTCTCCTCGCTTCCGTCTCTCTCCACCACCCAACACGACACAAGTGCCTGCCCCACACACACCACTTACACACACTACACAACGCAGGAGCCTGTCACCCACCAACACTCACGAAAATTCCACACGAATGCACAACCTTTCCTGGGTGAGTGGCTCTGGCATGCGCCTTCTCCCGGTCAGTACTGCCAACGGCGTCCTACCGAATTGGCGAAATAAACATTTCAAAATGGAGTGGAGTTACTCCGTCCGCTCTGTCCCATAAGGCAACACTCGTAAACAATAGGTGACCCACCAGTGTTGAATAATATCGGATTATTAGTGCTTCGAGTGAATATGGCGAAGTCAGTGCTGAGTTCAGACTCATTACCGAAGGCTGGAAGAGTCAACGAGGGTAAGGGCATCGGCTGCTAGATAAAAGGGAGCTTCTTCAATCCACGATAACTCGAGATCCGCAGAGTGGAATTTTTGGATTTTTTTTTCATGTTGAAGGCATTTTTTCGGACTTCAAAATGAGCGCTGACTTGCCGGAATCGGATTGTTTGATCGGGGGATATTGGGGATTGGAGAAGGTCCGTTTTACCCTTTTTTGACTCATTCTCACGGGCATTTTTGAGGCTTTTGTTAACGAAAGCTGGCGACTCGTTGGAATTCCTTTGTCACGCATCGGTTTACGTGAGGAATTTATTCACTGGTGATTACAGTGTGTCGAGAGTGGCTGGTTCACGAGGACGGCGCCCTGGCGTATCGATTGCAGGATGAAGAGAGTCAGTGGATTTTGTTTTTTCGTTTGTGATTCTCGTGATGTGGGGAAACGAAAGGTTCGCGGGGGAATTGCTCGGGATTGGTTGAGTGAATTTTGAAAAGTCTCAATTCGTTTTGAAGATATTTTGTTGAGCTTCAAAATGAGACGTGAATTGCGGAAATCGAATCCTTGGTTCCGGAAATATCGAATATTTAAAATCTCCTTTAATTTCAATCTTCATTTTTAATGAAGATTGGTTTTTGGGAAATAACTCGGAAGTGAAGGGAGATAGCGGAATTCTTCTTAGGACCTTTTTTGTAGCTGATGAAATTCTCTACAAAAAATGTCTTTTGGAAATTTTTGCTAGCTCCTTCCGATCCTGAGATATTGGATAAAACACATCTCGAAATGAGGTAAATTCCCGAGTTTTTGCCACATCACTGGATCACATTCTGCAAACTCTACGTGACTCAGGAATTATCATGACGATAATGTTCTTGTCGTGTTTAATAGTCAAGGAGCATTACACAGGGAACAAAGTGCGTAATGCCCAAGTGAGAGAGGATTTGCCACGGGCACGGGTGGAGCAGCAGCTGGAGGAATTGAGATATCATTCACTGGTTCAACAGCAGTGAGTTTCGCATACTCAAGTGATTCTTATTCGTATTTTTGCTTCTGAAGGGAAGCTCTGGATCAATGGAATTTCCTGATTTTTCTCATGAATATCGACTTTAACAAGCTCTATTTATTGACACTAATAAAAACTCAATCTTTCGTACAGATTCGAAAAAATTTATATTTTTCCAATAATCGATTTTTTAACGATCACTCGAAAAATTGTCCTCAAAATGAAATTAGCCATAGCTCAAAAAATTGATAACAATACCCTCTTGATTCTATCAGAATACGACGAGGATCGCACAATTCGTTGTTGAATTACAGCTCATTGTTTATGCGATTTGAAAGAGAAAATCGATTTTTTCATGATTACTGAAAGATTCATCAGTAATAACAATTAAATCAGGGCTTGAAAATTATATTTCAGTGTCTTCTTAATCAAGTTGAAAAATGGTGAGAACAGCTCATTACTTATCAAGTTACACAATACCGTCATGAGCTTTTTATATAAAAATCTCTATCTCTATTAAACTCAGGTACCGCAGTCTATTATGTTGAATACTTATTCACATTGATTCATGGTCCCGACTAACTTCCGACAGAACCTGGGTTAAACTCTGGCTAAATCCTGAATAAACCCCGATTTAATCCCGGCTATACACTGATTAAACCTCAATTAAACCTTGATTAAACCCGGACTGAAAACGAATTCGAGTCTTGAGAGGGTCTGAATGTAGAATTATTTGACAGAACGAAATAATACGCAAAATTTTGATGACATTTCAATCGATGACTGTACTATGACATGAAAAAACAGAAGAAGAGAATAGTGAAATAAGAATTAAAAAAAGAGAACCCATTCGGAGGCAAATTGCTAATTTATTAGCAACAATAACTGTACTCATTTATGGAAAAATGCCATTATCCGCATGCATTATTCTCTATAAATAATTCAGTAGAAGAAGACGACTTTATTCCCTTCAGACTTCACTCTTCCACGAAGAATCTAAATTTTTTGTTAATTTTTTGTTCAATATTTGATTTTTTACTGTATTGAGAATTAGTTCAGAGAGTAATTCGTATGGATTCCTCAGGGAAGAGAGAGACGCTATGGTGGCTCGACAGGTAGCTCTGAATCTCGAAAGAGAGGAGCGGATGAAGGAGAGAGAACTCCAAGAGAGAATGAGGCTTCAATTACGACTGGATGATGAAGCGGCACAAGTCGAGGCTGAATTGGAAATGCAGAGACGTCTGCAGGAGGAGAAAGACCAAGTATGTCACGAAAACAAAATAAATGCCTTCACCAAAACCACAGGTCACAAATTAATACTTCTGAACAACAAGATTTCACTTAAAATTTTTTTATTATCAATATCTCCATTCAGAGGTTTTTAGTTGAGGGGATTTATTAGAGGTAAAGAAATAATATTGAATAAAAAAATATTGAATGAATAAATAATGATAATTACTTCAATCGGCATCTCGCCGGAATGAAAAATTGATTCTGTATATTTAATTACACTTCAACGGCATCAATTCTGCGAGAAAAACACTTTTATTCTCTCATTAAATCACGAACACCGATTTTCCAAACTATTGAACAACTAAGAGTGCAGAATCTTCCAAATCATCTATCCAAAAATCGAATTAACAATTCAATGAATTGGAATTCAAATACCCTAAACTGAAATCTCTGCAGTACTTCTTAGGAAACCCTCAATACACAAACAATTCAAATTTATCAGAATTCTGTTGATTACGTCATTTCAATTAGAATAATTAAAATCAACACGCCAAGGAAGGAGGAGCGAGAGGGGCGTGAAGAGAATAAAAGTCGAGGGACGTGGAAACATTCCGGCAACCGGCCTAACACATTGTTACTGTAGCCTATTGAGTTTATTATTAAAATTTTTATTCTTGTTATTTTCATTACCATTGAGCTAGTGCACTCGTGCACGTCCAACTAGTTCGGTCTTATGTATTATCTTACAACGAGTGCACAACAATGGGAAACTGTATTTCTATTGTAAAAGGAGTAATGCCGTACAAAAGGAAAATAAATCTATATCTATCATTAAAATCAACGAAATTAATTCCCTCCAATTTCACGAATTCTATGAATTTGATGAATTAGAAGACATTTCCAACGAAAATTTGACTCTCTATCTCTTCAATTTTTTTGTCTTTCACCTAATTCCCTTCTCGCATAATAAAAAAATTAATCAACTGCAGGAATTAGCGAGGCAGCTCCAGGAGGAGGAGGAGCGATCGGTGGACACGAGTGACGGTCCCATCGATGACCAGCTCCTCCAGGACCAGAAGCTAGCGATGGAGGCCCAGGACGCCGAGCTAGCACGAATGCTCCAGGAGAAGGAGAGGGCGAAGGCCAGACGTGCGAGGGAGCGTGCGAGGCAGAAAAAACTGGAGCGCCAGCTGCAGCAACAGCAACAGCTGGAGGTGCAGAACGAGATGGAGAGGCCCCAGAGACCTGACAAGCTGGACTTGAAGGTCTCCTACGACAGAAAACCCAAGAATCACCCTCAGTACCCGGACCCTGAGGAGATCCAGGTCAGACATAATGTTTAATTTTGAGGAAGTCAACAGTCAGCTAATAATGCTCATCAATTTTTAATTATTAAATGAGTGACCAATTAAATATCCAATTTGCGAATTATTTTATCAATCAGTAATTGAGTTCGAAGGATTGACGATAATTTGGCTAATCGAAAATTCCTTTCAAGAAATTCTGAAATATTTGACCAATAGTCAATTTAAAATCCCGTGTTGTCAATTATGTAATTCATAGTCAATTGAAAATTTAAGGCCTGGGTAGATTATCTTTCGAACGTGATCTTGTTTTATTTTTATTTTGATAGTCTTAAATAATCTTCAATTGCTATTCAGTTTTACATAGCCCTGGAATCACCAAAAATTATGATTGTACAGTCAAAAAAACGTGGAAAAAGCTGAACATTTTCAAAGAGCGTTTTTGAATAATATTGGGAAATAAACGCAGTAGAGAAGAAATTGCAAATTAATAATTTGATGTCTAATGGCCGTTAGGTCGTCGTTTGTCACAGCAGTCAATGCCTGTCAGATCGTTAGTTACCCTGATAAATTATCCATTCACTATTTCCTCTCTACTGGACTTATTTCTTAATCTTGATTAAAAACTCTCTTTGAAAATGTTCAGTTCCCCTTTTTTCAGTTCTCCTTTTTTTGATTGTACAATCATAATTTTTAGAGACTCCTGCGATGTAAAATCCGATGGAAATTGTGACATGTTTTACATTATGAAGATGGAAAAACAATCGAGATGACGTTCGGAAGATAATCCACCCGAGCCTTAAATTATCAATTATTTTATAAATTTCAAATTTCAACCGAAATATTATAAAAACTAATTATTCTCGACAGGTCCTCGAGGAGCCAGAGGACAATCGAGAGATGCCCAATGTTGCCACCATCATTGACCCAACGTACAGTGGAAGTGGGCATCGCAGCACCACCTCCAGCAGCTCCAGCAACACTGTCAGTCCCTCGTACGTTCTGCCCACGCCTCCACAGGAATTGATGGACGATGCCCCCTGCTACATGCCCATTCAGGGACAGAGACGCATGCAGATGCAGTCGCCTTCACTCTCACACGAGGAGAAACACAAACGCAGGGTCAAGGATGGCTGCAAACACCAGTAGGGGTCGTGATCTCAGATGTAGTTTAGGGGAAATCGGTGTAGGCGTTGGTCTTCTCACTTTCGTCACTCTTCCAGCGGTTCGGACTCACATTCCAACGACACTAATGCCTTAGGATGGTGAGTTGTTCAGAGAGTTTTGGGGAGGGGAGATGATTGAGTTCTTCAGGGGATTCAGAGGAAGTTTTTGAGGAGATGGCGCAGGTCATACGATCCATTTTGGATGAAAATGGCGAGAAATATTTCACTTGACAATTCAACTAGAAGATTTTTCAAGGAAACTTTCACGTGGATTAAATTTTGTAGAAAAGAAAGACCTTTTAAATTCTATAGAAAAGGGTAGTTGAGAAATTTTAGAGGGATTTGAGGGGAGAGATGATTGAATTCTTCAGGAAAGTTTGGGGTTGAGGAGATATTAGATATGATGGATCTCGTCAATCAGTCATTTTAGGTGGAAATGTGAAAAAGTATTTTCGTAGATAATGAAATTCTCTAAAGAACATATTCAATTGCATTTTCTGAAAATAGACTTATTGCGAATAATTCAATCCTCTTAACATTTTCATAAGAAAATTTCCAATTGAATCATAATTAGTAATTTTTGGAGAAAAAATCATTCGACATTTTTTCTAGAGCATTTCCTAAGCTACAAAAATGTTTTGTGAAATTTTCTCCTAGCATCACTCGTTATCAAGATAATTGAACAAATAGAACAATTCAACTGGAAATTTTTCGAATTTTATAGGAAAAAATCTCTCGAAAGTTCTCAGTCACTCATCACCTAGATAATTGAGCATTCAACGCCACGTGAGTCTCCCCTCATGAATAATTCAATCAAACATTCCTCTGGAAGTTGTCAGTAACTCGAGAAGAATTCCCCACGGATTTAATCATCTCCTCCCTCGCACAATTGAAGTAATGCGAAGTTTAACGTGCGACTGTTGCCATAGTGCACTCCCTAACGGGAGTTATCTTGGAGAAACGAATATGACGATAATAATCACAGTGTTTTGTGCCTTTTCACGAGGCATTGTTTGCAATACGAGTGCTCAACTTGAATGGTATACACAACGGTATCTGTAATTTCAACGAAGTTGTTGATAATAATATGAATTATTTTATTTTTATGTAGTTACCACGCGAAATTCAATTTTCGTTTCGTAGGAACGACGTGTTCTGGATGAAAATACATATTAGTATTTCAAAATGAAAGGGCGTAACTGGAATGGATTTGGAAAAGACGTAATTGAACACGATTTTGACTAAATGCAGAATATTTTTCATTTTTATGAAACTACGCAAACATGATAATTCGAATTTGAATAATTTGAATTGTTCAATTGTTGAATTGACGAGAGAATAGAATTATTCTTCTTACGAAACCAATTCGATTAAATTGTAATTGATGTTTTCAATTCTGACATCATTATTTATGGGGCATTCCACGCTATTTACAATAACTTATTAATTAAAACCGGACTCGATCACCAAATGGATCAATCAAATTATCAGTATTATCTAATGATCATACAGAATCGTTAGCGATTGATGTAATTATGCTTATCTATTCACCGATTCGTTACAACTCCAACAGCTACATTGATGACGCCCTATTAAAAGTAAAATTCTCAGTCTCTTCACCTCTTCTTCTCTCATTTCTTCTTCTTTAATTTCATCCGAGTTACGTATTATTGAATAATTCTCCAGGACACGTCGATAAAAGAGACAATTTTCCAGTAAAAAGAGTAAAGTATTGATATTCGAGTATTTTTACTTTCGTAATTAATTGATAGTGAATCCATTGGTTACTAATGATGTAATCAGACTATTTTATACTATTTCTAATAATTACTACTTCGCAATATTTATCGAAAAATGGAAGAGCGATGGAAAAACAACATTGCCAAAGATCTGACACTTTAAATGTTTGGCTCTGTACCAGATTGTAACGAGTATTAAACAATAATCGAGGTGACTTAAATTTCAACGATTAATCAAAGTTATGTACGTAATGATCTTGTTACTGTACTGCATCAATTGAGAGTTTATATATGCGAGGATAATTCAAATCAAATTGTAAACGTGTTCATAATGAATTAACTGACTAATCAATTGCCGAAATGAATATCAAACAGTTATTTATCAGAAGAGTTCAATTCCAGGACTTTTTCCTCGGATTTAACGACTCAATAATCCAAATCATGAAAATTGCAAAGACTTTATTATTAATCATAAAACAATTAATTGACAGGAAATGACTTTTTTTTAATTCCAGGACTTTTTTCCTCGAATTTAACGAATTAAAAATTCAAATTGTAGAATTGTAAATCTTTTTTTGTTATTAATTACAGTAGGGAAATAGTTAATTGACACAATTAAGTACAATACCCCACATGAATCGAACGACGAAGGCCTCACTTTAATCAACAAATGATTAACATTAATGTAGAGATTATACATTTAAAATAAGATGGATTCATTAATCGAGGGCTCTCTCAACAAAATGGTACACGATAGATTTTTTTTATATGTTTATTGCATTATTATAGCTATACATGAGCATATCAATAAATTATTTACAACTGTATGTTACAAGGTTTTACTTTCTCCGAATAATAAACGAAAAAAAACAAACAGAACGAAACACATGCTTGAATCATAAAAAATATTCTGAATTTTCACTCTTCCCACGTAGATGAAAATTCAAGAAATCTCAAGAGAAAAAACCTTTTCACATTTCAAACACAATGATAATGGGAAACTGAATTACTAATTAAACGGTAACGATATCATTAATTAATGAAGAAAAAAATTACTCTAAGTCTAGAACGGAAGATGAACTGAAGAAAAATCGTTTCCACATTTGTACATTAAAAAAAAATTGTTTCAAGGGCAGGGGACATTGTGCACAGCAATCGTCGAGGAAAAATAATTATCAGATTGCAGGAATGACCCATTGGTATAATTTTTTTCCTAGCTAGTCTTTCAGTCGGAGCGCAGAGAATTCTATCTCCCTTGGAATAATGCACTTGTGATTACGAAGATGGAATAGACGAAAGTTCACCAGGTTTGTTCACCAGGTTTTTAATGTTGTCAGCACCAACAGTTTCATCGAAACACTATCAACATTTTTTTTTCTGGGAATTTAATTTATTTACTTGGAAGTACCTTGGGACCATTTAGGTAGTACAAATTTGGTGCGATAACCAGGCACGTGTGACAGTCTGGTGACCTGCTTGGCATCCTCGTTTCTACTCATTCTCGATTTCACTGGAGCGATTTTCTTCTCTTCCTCAGTGAGTGGAGGAATGAAATTGACTATTTCCCTGGAAATGAATGAGAGAAATATCGTGACACACATCTGGGAAATAATTGATGCAGTTTTAATTATTAAAGATACGAGAGAAAGTGCTTTTGCTTTCAAAGCAATGAGACGGTTCTTCACTTTTCGTTTGAGGCGATCAATCTCAGAGAAAATACAAAAGGCCTCTTGACACTTTCGAAGTGGATAATTACATTTTTCAACGTTTTGTTGTGGGAGGAGATTCACTATCTATTGTTAATTGCTGAATTTCAGAGAAAATGTCGTGGGATTTTTTTGCGAGGAATTTCTCTTTTTTTCGAGTCAATAGTTTCTGATATAAGTGCGATGAAATAAAATTTATGAGATTTTTATGCTTTTTTATGCAAGGAAATTCATCATAGAAGATATCTTGTTAATTACTGAATTCTCTCAGGAGACATTTTCGGGGAAAACTGCATTTTTAATGAAATTTCAAAACTCGTGAATATTGATGAACTCTCCTCTCACCCTCAATAAAATACTAGAGCTACAAAAATTTATACCTACGATCCTGAATATTATCCCTGGACCGTATCACCGGTGGCGAGAAGATGAAATCTGGCACTTGATCTGAAACTAAAATTCCATAAATTATAATTACTGTTAAAGTATTAAGTAATCAATTAGTTAATATAACTCTTAAATTTTAATTATTGAAGTAATCATCAATTTAAATAGTCGAATTTCGAATTATTCATTAATCAGTAATTGACTTAGGAAGATTGACAATTATTTGGATAATCGGAAATCCCTTATGAAAAAAATTCGTATTACCTACTTAATAGACAATTTATAGTTTTGCAGTTTTATAGTTCATCGTCAATTGGAACTTTAGTTTATCAATCATTTTTAAATTTCGATCAGTAAATTTAAACCTTGATCAATGTAAGTCAGAAATTCTTTTAAAATCGCAAAATTGCAGGACTGATGGTCATCCCTGCCAACTCACCTTCACATCTCTGCTGCATGCCCCTCGCCTCCTCAGGATCAGCAAACCGAAATTCCTCCTCCCTCCCCCTCCGGCCCCTCCTCGGTCTCTCCACAATTTCCTCATCCTCGAGGTCCTTCGTCTCGGAGGCAGCCCTCCTCCTCCCTCCACCCCTCGCCCCACCCACACCCTCCTGCGACAAATCCACACTCATGGCCCTCCTCCCCCTGGCCCTCGCCCTCCCAGCCCCACCGACCTCTTCCTCCTCCGGAATGGCCTGAATCCTCCCCCTCATCCTCTCAACCCCACCAAGAGTCTCATTAACCGACTCATCACTGTTCTCCTCAGGGATCACCTCCCTGACAATGCTCCCCCCTCGCCTAGTCCTCAGAGGTTCACTAGGAAGTTCCTTGGGAGCTAATCCTCTTCGTCTAGTCGAACGAACCGAAACTTTCTCCTCATCCTCATCCTTGCTGACAGAGGCCCCTCGTGCTCTTCTGGGCAGAATCGAGGTGTCAACATCATCAGAATCCCTCGTGACAGATCCCCCACGTGTCCTCTTGCCCCCCACCTCCTCCTCCTTGACAAGTGAAGCCCCTCGCCTCGTCCTCTTCACCTCCTCCTCCTCCTTGACGTCGTCCTCACCCCCCGAAGAAGCTGATGCTGTTCTAGTCCTCTTGGACCTCGTGTTCTTTCCCCCATCAAGGTCTTTAGCCACTGAAGCACCTCTCATTGCCCTCTTCGCACTCTCCTCTGGTACCTCCGAGGCCACTGATCCTGCCCTAGTCCTCCTCGGTCTCTCCACTGTCTCTTCATTCAATTCCGAAGTTGATGCAGCTCTCCCTCGCTTCGGTTTTACTCTCTCCTCATGATCTTTCACATCGGAATACGACGCAGCACGAGTCTTTCTGCTCTTCTCCGCTATTTCTTCGTTAAGTTCCGAAGATGATGAAGCTGTTCTTCCTCGTTTCGGCCTCTTGGGGTCTTCCTCAGTGGTTACTGACGCGGCTCTCGTTCTTCTCGGGGGTAATGAAGGCTCTTCTGCCTCTTTAGCTACTGAACCCCCACGAGTTCGTTTTACTCTCATCCCCAGAGGCTTCTCATCCTCTCGAAGCGATGAAGATTCGTCTGGAGTATTTTTAGCAGTGACGTTGACGTCTTTAGCGACAGATGCCCCTCGTTTTCCTCTCCCTTTCTTCACAGGTTCAGCCTCCTCACCAGCTTCTTCAACAGTCTCACCAGCTGGAGATTCATCTTCCTGCGCTGATGATGCCCCTCGAGTCATTCTGGGAGTCCCTTCCTTAGCAACAGAAGCCCCTCGTCTTCCTCTCCCTTTCCTCACAGGTTCAGCCTCCTCAGGAATTTCTTCAATAGTCTCTGGAGTTGATGTTGTCCTGGGTGTCTCTTCTTTAACAACAGAAGTCCCTCGTCTTCCTCTCACTTTCTTCACAGGTTCAGACTCTTCACCAGCTTCTTCAGCAGTCTCACCAGCTGGAGCATCATTATCCTTTGCTACTGACGCCCCTCGTCTTCCTCTCCCTTTCTTCACAGGTTCAACCTCCTCAGGAATTTCTTCAATAGTCTCTGGAGTTGATGTTGTCCTGGGTGTCTCTTCTTTAACAACAGAAGTCCCTCGTCTTCCTCTCACTTTCTTCACAGGTTCAGACTCTTCACCAGCTTCTTCAGCAGTCTCACCAGCTGGAGCATCATTATCCTTTGCTACTGACGCCCCTCGTCTTCCTCTCCCTTTCTTCACAGGTTCAACCTCCTCAGGAATTTCTTCAATAGTCTCTGGAGTTGATGTTGTCCTGGGTGTCTCTTCTTTAACAACAGAAGCCCCTCGCCTTCCTCTTCCTTTCTTCACAGGTTCCGGCTCCTCTCCAGCTTCTTCAGCATCCTCACCAGCTTGAGATTCATCATCCTGTGCAACTGATGCCCCTCGAGTCATCCTGGGAATGCCATCCTTAGCAACAGATGCCCCTCGTCTTCCTCTCCCTTTCTTCACAGGTTCAGCCTCCTCAGGAATTTCTTCAATAGTCTCTGGAGTTGATGTTGTCCTGGGAGTCCCTTCTTCAACAACAGCCTCACCAGCTGGAGAATCATCATCCTGTCCTACTGATGCCCCTCGAGTCATCCTGGGAGTCACATCCTGAACAACAGAAGCCCCTCGCCTGCCTCTCCCCTTCCTCACAGGCTCAGGCTCCTCTCCAGCTTCTTCAGCATCCTCACCAGCTTGAGATTCATCATCCTGTACAACTGATGCCCCTCGAGTCATCCTGGGAATGCCATCCTTAGCAACAGATGCCCCTCGTCTTCCTCTCCCTTTCTTCACAGGTTCAGCCTCCTCAGGAATTTCTTCAATAGTCTCTGGAGTTGATGTTGTCCTGGGAGTCCCTTCTTCAACAACAGCCTCACCAGCTGGAGAATCATCATCCTGTCCTACTGATGCCCCTCGAGTCATCCTGGGAGTCACATCCTGAACAACAGAAGCCCCTCGCCTGCCCCTCCCCTTCCTCACAGGTTCAGCCTCCTCAGGAATTTCTTCAATAGTCCCCGGAGTTGATCCTGTCTTCACTTCAGGTTCTTTCCTCCGAGATCTCCTCATTGGCACCTCCTGGACGTCCCCAAGGGCCGGGGAAGCAAGCAACGATGACGTTAACACTTCTTTAACTAGAGACGTGGCTCGTCTTCCTCTTCGTTTCACTGGGGTCACAGGAGATTCCCCTGATGACGATGCTGATGTCTTCGGGTATGGAACATCCTGAACTAGGGAGGTTGCACGACGTGTCCTCGGGGTTTTCAGAGCCTCAGGGGTCTCCGCAGCCACCGATGATCCTCTTCGTGATCTCGTCAGTCTCACTGGTGTCGAGTCTTCAACAAGTTCTTCCTGGGATTTCTCCCAGGTTTTTGGTGATTCAACTGAAGATTTAGGAACGAAATCCTCTTCAAGTACTGCTTCCTGGATTTTTTCCGATGAATCCACTCGGGTTTTTGGTGATTCAGCTGAAGATTTAGGAACGAAATCTTCTTCAAGCACTGCTTCCTGGACTTTTTCCGATGAATCCACTCGGGTTTTTGGAGATTCAGCTGAGGATTTAGGGGCAAAATCTTCTTCAAGTACATCCTCCTGGATTTTATCCTGGACTTTTAGGCATTCAGTTGAGGATTTATTGATAACACCAGAGCAATCCTCATTTGTACGTCTTTCATTTAACTTTCCATCACTCCCTGAACCCCCAACATCCTCAGGTTCACTCTCGTCATCAGTTATGTTCACAGACTCAGGCCTCACTATCCCCGAAGCCCCTTCATCCTGGATTTTCTTCCTCGTAAAGAGACTCTCATCAACACTCCTCGACTCGTCATCAGTGATGTTGAATTCTTCATTGAAACGACTTGTCACTGTCTTCTTGGCGCCTTCAGGAACATCGGGCCCTGGAGTTAGTTCTCGATTGACTTCAATCGAGTTCGAGAGACTCTTGAAGACGTCGTCGTTGTCGTCGTCATCCTCGTACTTCAGGGCTAGGAGTTCCTCGTCATAGTCGTCCGATGGCAACTGCTCCTGATCCTCCTGGACTTCACCTGGAGTTTTCTCCTCCTCTGATTGTGCCTGGCCATCAGTTGAGGTGTCAGCATCATTTCGTGATGGCTCTGTGATGACAATCCTCTCTTCAACCTCCATTGAGTGATAACTCTTCTCGTCCACTTCGAAATTGGATTCGTTCTCTGTATTGTCATTCAGATCAGTTCGCTCAACGGAAAATTCCTCTCGAACAATTGTTGTTGTAGTTATCGACGTTGTCGTGACAATCTCCTCGACGATACTCCCCTCGTCGTCAATATCGTCAATCTCTCCCTCCTCGAGCCCAGAGGAGTCCTTCAAGGACTCGGTCGAGTTGATCGAGCAAGTTGTGCCATTCTTCTTGATTTCCCCTGGGGAAAACTCGTAACTGGACCCAGGGGACAGCACTGTTGACGCACAGACCGATGGGTCGAAGCGATTGGACACCCTGGGGGTGGCTGGCTGCAACAATGTACTGGAAACAATATCAGAAGACACTGAATTATCCAGGGAGAGCCTGTCGGAATCCAGGGATGAGTCTCTTGTCAGCACTGAATGTCTCAAGGACTTCCTCAGGAGGTCATCGTCCAGGGTTTTTCTCAGACTGGGGCGACGTCGGGGTCCTGGAAGGGGGAGCGACAGATTTGAGTCGTTGGAGAGAATTGTACTCTGTCCCAGATTCTGACCACTCGTTTCGGGACTCTGGAAGCCATCACTCTCTTCGGGATTTGAATTGTCAGCGATTTTTTGCTCATCTTCTTCTGGTCGGTGGTCTCCTGGGGATGACAAAATCCATGTTCAATTACTGATGTGAAATAATTTAACAACGTGGTGAGGAATAATTTAAATCGTTTACATATTAAAAGAAAACTCGTCATAACTTGGTGACATTTGAAAAAAAAAGTATTAAAAAAAAGAATAATAAAACATTAATAAAATCATCAAAAAAATTACAAAAACCCTTGAATAAAAAACATGAATGAAATAATTGAATAAAGAGCATGAATAAAATCAATGAAAAATAGACGAAATCATTTAAAAAAGTGAACAAACAAATTTCTTCAAGAAATGAATGAAAATCCTTCGATCAATAAATTCTCCTCACCCTCACCACCACCGCCATCTTCATCAACAGAAGAGTCCTCCAGTCTCGGTTGATTAATACTGAACCTAATCTGCCTAGGTCTCTTCTCCCTCTCCTCCTCAGTGGGCGATTCCTTCGGTGAAATGGACTCCTGAATCATCCTCCTGATCTTGAGAATGGAGTGAGGAGTCTCAGCACCATTGTCCCTGCAATTCATCTGGTTCTTCCTCTTGACCAAGGGCGTATCAAACACCATGCTGATGCTGAGCTGCCTAGTGTCCTCAGCCATCTCCTCAGTCCTCCTCCTCTTCCTGGGGCCGCCGCTCCCCTCAGGATCCTCCGCCCTCATCTGATCAAGAGTTCGTTTCCCATATGGCCTCCTCTCAGCAAACATGACGCAATTTCCATCACTCGTGGTGGCACCAGCCCTCAGCGACAACGAAGGAGCTGTGATAAAAGGAATCTGGAGTCTATCCCCCCTGGTGAACGTCTCCCTGGCCTTCCTGATGACAGCCTCGTGCATCTCCCCGATCCTCGATCTGCTCTTTATATGTGACAAAGGCCTGGGATAATTGCCCTCAGGCTCCACCTGAACATTTCTCCTCCCAAATTGCGAAGTAAATCTCCTGGTAATTTCGGGAAGAGTTGCATTATAGGCATTGAAAACAGCAGAGGACGAGGAATTCTTGGATGACGTTGCTCTCTGCCCCAGGGAGACACCCCCAGCCTCGTTGTACCTGGACTTCTGGAGGTAGTAAAGCAGTCTCGTCTCCTCGCACTTCTCCCCTTCAAGAAACTGAACAAAAGTCTCCTCCTCCTCGGAGTCCATGGCGAGGTGGAGGATATCGTTGAGACGATTATTGTCCTTGCAAGCCTTGAAGAATCTCCTCAACAACTGGCTGTAGTGGGATGGTGGCCTTCGATGAAAAGCCGATTGCACCAGTCCATGCTCCACCGAGAGACTGATGACAGTTCCCTGTTCATCGAGAGAAGACAGTGGAGGCTTTCTCACTCTGAGATAAATGAGGGCTAGTTTGTTCTGTGCACTTCTGATCAGAGTTCTTATCACCAATTTGTGGTGCCAGTCCTTGACGTCTGAATCGCAGACCAATTGTCCTGTCATTATCTCCAAGAAGCCGTGGTAATCCTCGTGATCCAGCAGCCAAAGGGCCTGAGTGAGTTTTATCAAGCTAGGACTGAGCTTGAATGCCGCTGGATACTTCACAAGCTGATCGACACTGGGACACGAGCCCTGGAGCAGCATCACCAGGTCCATCAGCAGGTAGATGATAATCTGGTGCTTGTTCTCCATTTCATTGGTGTCACGGTGGTAGCAGTCAGTTAGAATGCTTCTTAACAGGGATTGGAGGGATGGGGGAGGGTATCTACCGTCAGACACCGTCTCTGTGGCCTCTCGCTCCCATTGGGAAACCAGTCCACTGCAGTCGCGACTGATTAATTCGTCGATGAAGAGATCCTCCTCTTTCTCGGATTTCTTGACTCCCTCCTTCTTGTACCTCTCTCGTTTTTCTTGGTAAATGGAGATCAGTCGATCTGCTGGGTAGGGAATCCTGAGGACTATGGAAATGGGCAGGGACTCCTCGTCCATGTCCTGCGATTCTGGTAACAAACCTACGTCGAGGAACCACAGGAGTACCTGAAGATAGATTGTGATCCTCTTCAAAGTTCGTTGCTGCGTGTCCTGGTCCTGAGTGGCCACTGGCAGATTCTCCACAACATTGGATAGGCACTCCATTTGCTGGCAGAAAGACCTCAGAGTCCTGACCTCGGCCTCCCCAATGCTGCTCCCCGACTGATCAAACAGGGGAATGCAGAGTCTGTGTGCCATGAGTTTAATGGTCGAAGCTCTCTGGACAGCCCACCTGATGAACGAGGGGAAGAGATAAGCAGCACTCCCATCACTCCAGTCCCTGACACACCTCAGGAGAAAAGTCGTCCAGCGTTGCTCCAGACAGAGGGTCAGCAGTGAGTCCCTCTGGGAGTCAGGATCACTGTTAAACGAGGAATCCCCACTGAAGGGAATCAGACCAACAGCCACACATCTGTGAAATGTATCAGCTGGATGCAGCATTATCACAGGCCCCGACAGGGACATTTCCCTCAGCAACTGCGACTGAACTCCTCGTGTCATCCAGGTTGTTATCCTAGCAGTCCCCAACTCACTCCACTCCAAGGACAATGAGTTTGGAAAAAAGAACTCCTCTGGGGAGCCTTGTCCAGCTGCTGGGAATTCCTTGAGAGTCGATGGCACGTGGCTGCAGCTGACGACAAAATTCTCCGGTGATTGTCCCTCAGTTCTGGTGCAGTAGGCCGATAAAATAGCATCGACATTCGTGGAGTCCCCAAGAGTCCTTGGCATCTGCTCCTTGTACCACTGATTCAGATCAAATAAAAAGGTTCTCCCCTCTGTACCGATGAGCAAGAGACTGTCCTCGGGCGTTTTTGTCCCTGATTCTGTCTCCAGGGTGCTGTCCCTGGGGATGGGACACAGGCTGACCACCCTGGATCCCTCCTCGAGGTCCAGCTCCAGTTTTATCGAAGGCTCTCCCTCGAGATTGAAGTACTGATTGGATCCTCTGTACAAGTACTTTCGTTCGAAGAGCATTGCGAACATTCTGAGCACTGGGGACACCAGGGTGTCGTCCTGGTGGGCCACCCAGAGGTAGCAGAAGGGCCTGGGGTCGTCAGTGGGCTCTAGCAGGGCTAGATGACTTATCAGGATGTTGTCTTCCAGGGGGGGGCTGATCCATCTCACGATTCCATCGAGCTGCCACAGGATCACGTGGCCCAGGCATCCGGAGATTATGCAGCCTATCTTTCGGGAACAGGTGAGGAATGTTGTGAGGGGATCCTGCAGGAGGGATGACTCGAAATCCTCTCGTTTGAAGGAGATGTACCTCTCGATTCTCGTAGACATGAGATTGTGGAAGGCGTGACGCTCGCGATTCCGATGCCTCAGGGTTGTCGATGGGTCTGAGGTCTCCAAATCCGCGGGATTAGCCTCATCGTAAAGCGGATAAGTCCGGAGGTCCTCCCAGGAGGTGCGACGAAGATCGATTACCAAGTGGTCGAGGTTCCTGAGGGCTGCGCAGGCCAGTCCAGAGGACCCAGGGAGAACATCCACACGTTTGTCATCTAGATACTCCCAGCTGGCACCCCCCGTGATGATGCAGAGGTGCTCAACACCTGATGGGGTTCTTATCGCACGCAGAACTTGAGAAATCGTGCTGTCGAAGACACAAATCAGCCCTTGGGAGTCTCGTAGACGGGGCGCGTCGTTGTCCAGACCCACTAGGAGGAGGGGAATGTGACCTGGGGGGGAGGGAAACGGGGAGACTGAGGATATTCGGTGGCGAAATGTCCAGGAGGAGATGCTCGCACCCGTTCGAGTGTTGAAGACTGTCAGGCGCGAGCGACAGGTGAGGTAGGCGTAGTGGGTGTCTGGGCAAAATCCACCCTGGGTCGAGGAGGGGGAGGGGGAGTGGGGTGGTGAGGCGTCATCCTCGAGGGAGGCATTTGGGGAGAGGGGGGAGAGCTGGAGATCCACCGATCTGCGAACCTGGAGAGAGACGAAATGTTGATTTTTATCGAAATGTTGATAACATTCAACTAAGTTGAGAATCCGACAAAATTAGGTAAAAATCAATCTTATTTAATTTAATAAAATGAAATAAACAATTAATTATGCTTGATAGAGGGAAATGGTGTGCGAGATAACCATTCGGCAGCATATTGCTAAATTATTAACAAAAATGACTAAAATAACTAAAATAAGTAAAAGCTCTTGTAGTGGATATACACTACAAGAGCAATTTCCCACTTGTTTTGGATTCGATTGAAGGGTTTCTGAGGAATGCATGCAGCGAATTTTTTTTGCATTCAATTAACGACATTTAAAGCAGTCGTTGAAATACTTGATTAAAGACTTTTATCGTGAAAAATTGAGTAATTGTTCAGAAAATTAAGACAACAAATTCACAAAGAAGTATAAATTGTTCATTTGGAGTAAATTGTTTATTTATTCCATATAATCGAAACATTCCCACTGGAACAAATCCATAAGTTTGTAAATTCCCAAGAAAAATATTGAAGTGAATGAAAACTCCAAATAAAATTTTTTAAATCATTCAAACGCATCTCCAGAGTTCAATTCCTGCTTTATACCCTCAAATATCATAATTTTCCTCCACCTAAAATAAAGACTTTATTAGCGACTATTCGTCAAAAATAAATACATTATTAAAGATTTTTATCGTAAAAAATTGAGTAATTGTTCAGAAAATTAAGAGAACAAATTCACAAACAACTATAAATCGTTAATTGGCAATAAATAGATTATTCATTGCACATAATTTGAAATTCCCACTGGAACAAATCCATAAGTTTGTAAATTCCCAACAAAAATATTGAAGTGAATAAAAACTCAAAATAAATTTTTTTAAATCATTCAAACGCATCTCCCGCATTCAATGCCTGCTTTATACCCTTGAACATAATAATTCCTTCATTCCTCGAATATTGGCGGCATCGCAGGCACTTTAACGCGAACAAGTCATTCCCCCATCCCCAGCCCTCCCGGGGACAAAACAATTCCCCCAAGTAATTTACCTCGCAGTGTGTGTCCTCCAGGTCATTCATAATTCCAAACAAATCAGAATCCCCTTTCGCCCGCTGAATCCAGCATTGATGAAGCCGTTGATCTCGTTGTTGAGGTTATGTCCACACCGTCACTATGAATTTACCACCTCTATCAGGCTGATTACGTCGATCACAAGGCTACCATGAGAATTTTAATGAACTTTAATGTCCTAGAGACGCTAACTAACGGGTTTTCCGTGGTAATCGCTCAAAAATTGTTGTAAAAAAGGGTTTGATGGGTTAATCCATTGCTCGTGTAACCATTTTAAAACCGCACAGCCGAGTGCGGCCCGGGCCTCTACAGGTCCTCCCGGAAACTCATCGAGGGCCGTTTTGGCGCCTTTATTCGCAATCCGTTTGAAAATCGTTCCAAAATCAACAAAACGAGAAAAAAATCGCACGAACACGTCACGAAAAAAACTTGAAAAATTGATTATTTCGGGAATTATTAGATATTTTAGAAATAATAATGTTTACAGAGATTTATAGTTTATTGTGTACTACAGTTGGACAAATAGAGATGTTTTTTATCGATTTCCTCGTGGCTCAGCAGTAAATTCTCGTTCTGGAGCTGCAGAATCGAATGATTTTCAAAATCGAAGACTTTTTTTTATTTTCCAAAGTGATTTTAGTTTATTTCATCATCATTTGAGTGTGTGGAAGGGTTTAGAATAGAGATACATTTGTAAGGTATGAAAAGTCATTTATTTCACACAATTTTTAATTGATTTTATTGAACTTTGCTCAAGAAACGATTGATGATTATTATTTATTATTATTTCTTATGCTGTGGTGATTGATTGAGGAAACTAGCAATGATGTCCATTAGTTATATTTGTTAATTTTTATTGTTTCATTATCGTTTTACTACATTTGGAAAAAAGATATGTTTTTTATATCTGCTATCTGGAGCTGCAGAATCAAATGATTTTCAAATGCTGAATTGTTTTTTCATTTGCCAAGTGATTTTATTTCAATTTCACAATCATTTGAACATCTTAAAGAGTTGAGAATAGATATATCATCCACCAAGTCAATTTTTAAAGTGCAAAAGACATTTAATTTACTCAGTTTTTGATGAATTTCATTAGATTTTGTTGAAGAAGACATTTTACGATTTCTTATGGTGATTATTATTTTGTATTCTGCATTCTAATTGATTGACAATAATAATACAATCAGAAACACAATAAAGCAGATAATAATAATTATCATATATTATTATTATCATATTTTATTTTGTCATATTATTATTATTGATGATTTGTTATAATAATGCAGTCTTTGATTATTGTTACTTTACTTATAGGATTGCAGACCCGTGGGAGATCATGTCTAAGGCCCATCTCAGTGCGAAAATAGGACCTTCCATCCTAAACGCTGATTTATCACAACTCCACGATGAATCGCAGAAATTGCTGGATAACGGAGCTGATTACCTGCATTTGGACGTCATGGATGGACACTTCGTACCTAATCTGACGTTTGGACATCCCTTGGTCAAGTGCTTGAGGGGCAAAATCAAGGATGCCTTCTTCGAGACGCATATGATGGTGTCAAAGCCAGATCAGGCAAGTTCAGGATAAAAAATGAAGATTAAGGCCCGGTCGCACCAGCTCCGCGTAACGAAAACGTCAGATAAGAAATAAAGGAAATTTGGATGTTCGACGGATTATTTCACCCGGGAGAGTATCTCAAATTTATTCCAGGAACAAAAAATCCCAAAATGTAATCCCAAGGTTAAATTAATGGTAATTCAAATGGGGCTACAGGGTAAATAAAAAATTATTCTTCGGTTCAAATGTTGAAATATTATTAACCCGAGGATAAATTTTACCCTGGGGTTTATTTGGATAACAGGGCTTGGTGCAACCGGGCCTTAATATTGAAAAATGCTTCTGTTTTTTCACTTCTTGACTTTCTCTACTTGAGAAATCAAATGAAATTATTAGTTATCAATTATCAATTGATTAATCAACAAGTGACAGTAAATCTTTAGTTTTCTGAAAGGGATTTTTTCAAGTTTCAACATCGATTTTGATTTATTCAAGTCGTATCATTTGTATTAAAAAATATAGGAATACTGTTTTTTTTTATTAGTGGATTGAACCGATGGCTGATGCTGGAGTTGATCAGTACACATTCCACGTTGAACCTGTTGAAGACGTTCCTCTGGTCTGCAGGAAGGTCAGGGAAGCTGGTATGAAGGTAATTTTAACGTGAAAATAGTGAATTATTTCGTGGTTTCGTTTGAAATGATTTTTTGTATTTTTGGAAATTAGGTGGGGGTCGCCTTGAAGCCGGGAACTCCAGTGGATGTCGTCGCTAATTATGTGGACCAGGCTGACATGGTCCTCGTGATGACTGTGGAGCCAGGCTTCGGGGGCCAGAAGTTCATGGAGAATATGATGGAGAAGGTCTCCTGGCTCAGGAAGAATTATCCTGGTCTTGATATTGAGGTCGATGGGGGGGTGGGGCCAAATACCATCGATGCATGTGCCAAAGTAAGACTTAAATATTCATTCACTTTTTTACATTTTTAATATTCAAGTTTATTCCTGATGAGTAGTGTTTGGAGATGAGAGATTTTTTTCAAAAAAATTTCTGAACGTCACAAATATTTCATGACGGATGGAATTTTACCATTAAAACTTCTCAATTTCACGATAAAATCGAAGAAAAATAGAAATTTCAGTTCAATTATTCCATGAAAATTAATAGAAATCAGGGATATTGACGTGATATATCCGGAAATTATTAATTAATTGAAACTTCAGTGTAATCTGGTTTTAAATATTCATGTTTTGCTGCTAAAAAATATAAAGTTTCCTTGAATTTTCAGTCAACTTTGGAATTTCATGATTTTTTCCCTTCTAAATTGAACTCAATATCGTTCCCCTTAAAATTAGTACTGATCTGTTGATAAATTTTCAATGTTTAGGCTGGAGCCAATTGGATTGTCTCAGGAACTGCAGTAATTTGTGCCCCAGAACCAGCAAAGGTCATAAAAACCCTGAGAAATACAGTCAATTCTTACCTGGGGACCAACTAAAATCACCTCCACCACCAAAAAATTATGAAATGTTAAAAAAAAGAGCAGACAGGATCTCTCAGAATAAAAATAAGGTTTATTATTCTCGTAATAAAATCATCTCTCGTATTTCGTTGACTCCAACATTATCATTCGCCTCCACTCGAGTCTGAGTGATAAATCCTCGTTTTCTTCTCATTTTTTTCGTTAGAATTTTTCGTTCTACTGCTTTTGTCATCAGAATTGGGTGCATGTGACTGTTGTTCGTTATGAACTGGGAATTGTGGGTTGGAGAGTGCAGGATGTTTGGGTTTTAATTTGCCCCTGACTTCGGAGAGGGAAACTAGAATGGCTTCTTCGGTTCTGATGGTCCTGGACCCCTGTTCAGGACAGGTGTTCAGGTATTTATCGAAGAGGAGGCTTGGGTCGTCGATGCTGAGGCACGGATCGGCCTCGAGAGCTGCCTCCAGACCCGCTAGACCCCCGAACACCACTAGTCCGTGGTTGTACTCTAGACTCTTCGAGGGAACTTCGTCGATGGCTGACCCCTTGTCAGATGTTCCTATTGTGAGGTCGTACCCCTTCTCGTAGGGGCATCTCGAGAATACCTCGGTGATGCTCGAGGCCAGGCGCACTGTGTACCCCCAGTATATTCCGGTTTCAGAGCGTGGAACTGTTGGCGCAACCACAGTCCCTTAAAATTGAAAAAAAAAAAAAAAAACGATTTATTTGACTCTTTTTTGTTAACTAGACTAGTCCGCGTGTTTTACTCCATGGGTCTCAATGTATGTCAATTGTAGTGAATAGTCTTATATCAAATTTCTGAAGTGAATATCAAGTTTTCCGAAGGAAAAGTTTCCACAATGTATTGCATTTTTTAATTGATATATAATTGATATAGTCCTTATAATTGACAAATTTGATGATTGAAAATGGTTGAATCTACCGTGTGGTCTGTATCTCTCAAAAAACCTACCTTTCAATCTCTTAGGATTATCCTGATCCAGGGGGATTCTCAGGGTGACCCTCAGCCCAGGCGTCAGCATCTTGTCAATATGGACATCATTGAGCAGTCCCACATTCACCTGCGACCCCCTGCCAGCTTTAATCGGCTTATTCGTCACCACCCCCTCCCGGAACACCGACACATCGCTAGCCCTCAGGTGATGTGGTGCATCCAGAGGATTCAGAACCCCTGCGTACTGCAGGTCCTTGTGCAGTGGAAAAAAGAACTTCCTCAGGTACTGGGGGCACTCCAGGTACTGCAGGATCCTCGCCAGCTGGAGGCAGGCCGCCCTGGCCTCCCCCAGCTGTTCGTCTTTCTTCAGTTTCTTCTTGTCACCCTCTGTCACCTCCCCCTGGTCGTCGAACACAATCACCTCGTCGACTTTGTAAATGCAGGCAGCACGTGCTATCTGTCCAGCCAGGTAGGTCCTCAGCTCTGGGGACTGAGCGTTCTCGAGGACTGATCCTGGAACTGCGATGCTCAGGGTCGACATCTGAATCTTCTCGGGTTTCTTCTGGGGTTTCTCCTCGGCTTTCACTTCTGTCTCTGTCTCTTTTTTAGATTTTTTTACTAGGCGCTCTTCCCGCCATTTTTTACGCTTCTCTTTGTGGATTCTGTTGTGCTCTTTCCAGCTTTTGCCTTGGGGCACTGTTGCTGCCATTTCGGAGGCGAACTCTCCTGAATTGTTTTGGAGATTAATGATGAAGAAGTAATGAGACAGTAATTATTATTGTTTATTTATTAACTGTGCTCCAATTTTTTTCTACTTTTATCGAGTAATAAATAAATTTTATTCAGTCGTATTTCAATTCCATTTCCATATCCAATGGATAATTCAGTTTCTGGATAGATAATTCGGCAATTATTCAAGTCGATTTCTAATAATTTTCAAAAACCTCTACTTGTTTTTATTGGACAATTGTTTAAAAAATAGATGATAACGGATTGATGAGAGAATTGAATTATTTTTCTCACGCAATTAAAGGATAGGGGAGGGTGGGGTAAAACGGACACTTTAGACTTTTTTAAAATTATTCATAACTCAGAAACAAATTGATCAATTGAGCTCAATTTATTGAAAAAAAATTAAATTTTATCAAAATTTCAACCCCTCATTAACATTTAAAAAAAAGTCAAAAGTGTTTGTTTTACCCTAACCAGTTGATTAGTTAATTATAATTGAAAATATCAAACAGTTATTTTTTAAAAGAGCCACATATCGACTCCCAAATCATGAAAATCGTAAATCCTTCGCACTATTACAAATAATAATAATATAAATTAAACACTTAATTTCATCAATTTAATTTATCAATTTTTAAAACATTTTTTTAATTAAAAAAAATTAAAGAGATAGACCTTTCAAATTTTTTATTGGAAAGCTCTTCTAGTTCACGAAACAATAACAATAATGATATAATAATAATAGCAATATTCCTAATTAATATGAGAATTGAAATGACTCACCTCTCCGTCAAATAAATCACCAATAAATCCACAAAAAAACCCCGATAAACTTGAATAAAAAGACAACAACACCTTCAGAGCAACTTTAGTGGTAAACATGTGCAAATTAACCTCCAAATATCTCCAAACACACATGCCCCCCGGGAGGTGGTGCCGCCTGGTGGCGCATTCCTCCCGATTCTGTCACATTCTCCGACTTGACTTTGGCAGACGAACGCAGTGCAGTGGATTCCACATTTTAGTTGTCCGGTGATTGAGGCGTTTGCTTTGGTTTGGTTTTGCGACGCTGGACCAATAATCAAACAGACTTTGTTATTTTTTATCGTTTTGAGAAATTTTTGTTAATTGATTCACTGTGAGTTGCTCGCGGGTGCCCTGATGTTCGGGAATATGAGGGAGAAGGAGGAATTCTCCAGGAATTTACCTCCCGTCAACAACAATGAGGTGCCATCGCCTCGAGCACTGGGGCTTGACGCCCTGCACAATGTTTGCAAGGAGATTTATCCGGATCAGTTGAATCCACTCACTGTTACTGCTATTATTAAATACTGGTGAGTATTTTTTAGTTAATTAGGCGGTTGGTTAATTGATTGGCTGATTGGTTCATTGAGGGATTTGTTTTTTGATGATTGAGAGGAATTTTTCAGTCATTTCAGGTCAGGTTTATGCAAAGAGAGTTGGAGTTTTTTTTTAACGTTTGAAGCTTATTCAATTGTTGAAGAAATGGGATAATTTAATTCGTACTTATTTCTTTTTGTAATAAACCGAGAGACCAAGACTGAGCTCAATTAATCAATTTATTCCTGAGTTACGGATATTTATTTTGATAATTTCATTTATTGTTATCGTAATTAATTATTTTTTGGTGTTTCGAAGGCTGGGAGGGCCTGATCCTCTGGATTATATCAATATGTACGAGAATCCAGGATGTCCAGAGCAAGGAGTTCCTCCTCATTGGCATTATATCAGGTATTCAGTTTTGGATATTTAATTCGTCAATTGCAAGTTAATGCACAATAATTTGCAAAATTCTCTCTTGCGATTTTTGATTTTTTTCAGCCATAATGCAAAATAATAAACAAATTCCACTCATTATTTCATTCAATCGTATTTCAGTTAATCATATTTCGTGTTTCGTTTTCGTGTTAGTGAAATACGATTTTTAAACAGGTAATTCATCATTTATTCAAGTTAATACATGATAATCCACAAAATTCTCTTTTTTTTTTAGTTTTTTCATTTTTATCAGGCATAAAACTAAGTAATGAAATGATTTCATCAATTACTCCCTTCAATCGTGTCTCAATTCTATTCAGTAACACTGTTAATTCAATATTTGAATGGATAATTCATCAATTATTCAAGTAATAAACAATAAACAATTTGTAAAAATCTCCATTAACTTTTTGAGAATTTAATTATTTGTCTTCCGAAATTCCCTCGATTGACCGCTAATTAATGTTTCCTCCATCATAAATATGAATTCCCCTCATAAAAACCAGCCAAGACCAAACATTCAAGTGGTCAAACACAAAGAGCCCAGGGGTTGACTAGAAATGTACATTTTTTGTCTGAGGATGTCGGTATTTCACAGCAGACGTTTCATTCTATTTATACCGCAGGGTGAAAGGAGTCAGAAATAGATTAGGGAAGGGTGGATGCTGGAGAGGAAACGGAAATGGGAAGACGGAAGGAAATCCCTGATTAAATTTCGAGGGTCATAAATAGTCTCTTTTTCTTTCCTGTGAAAAAAATTTCTTTATTATTAATTTTCCTCATAGTTTGGGACTGTCTGATCTCCATGGAGACGGCAGACTCCATCCGAAGACTGGTCCAGGTCGTCCAAGTGGATTTGGATTCGAATTGACATTCAGACTGGCCAGGGAACGTGGAGAGACAACTCCACCCACTTGGCCTGCCAATGTCATGCAACAACTAGCTAAATATGTATTTAATTCTGGGAATATGTTGTTTCCTGGGGATCATGTGTCCTGGCATGCACCACTGGGCACCGGCAGTGGGAGGATAACACAGATTTTGATGGGGAAGGATCCACAATTGCCTAATAATATTAATACACCACATGGAGAGGTAACAACTCATTTTTTATTACGTGAAAAAAAATTGTTTGAATCAACTTACTCCGTGAATATCTCTGAAACAATTGGTTTTAGGGGAAAATGTCACGAAATATTTTTTGTTGGAAATTAAATTCTCTACAAAAGTGGTCTAGTGACTTTTCTTCCTAAACCGACTCGTTATCGAAATAAATAAAGAATTATCAAAAATGTTAATTTCACTCAGAACAGAATTTGTAGCAATGATCGTTGTTAATTGGCAATATCTTTCGAGTCAACGATGCGATTCCAATGAGTCAAATTTCATTTTTAAGACTGTAAAAATACCTTTGAAATGGCGTCAGATATATGGAATTTCACTCAGCGGATCTCGAGTTATGAAAGATTGAAAACAGGTGCAAAATCATTACCTGTTTTTCTTTGTTGAAATCGTTAGAATTAATTGATGCGATTTGATTTTTGTCATCAGGTATCATTCATCCAGATAATTGGAGTGACATCGGAGGAGCTACAGGCAGCTCAGCACTGGAATGGTCTAGGTCTTGTTAATTTATTGAAAACAACGAGGGGCTGTGGCCCATGGCTCGTCACCGATACCAACAGGATACATTCCATCATGGAGGAGGATCCAACAGTTGCTGAGAAAATACAAACGGGGATCGAGAGGGAGGGCTCCAACTTGAGTGGAGTGTCCGCCAAATGTTGGTGAGTAATGACCTCTCAACACTTTCCAAAAATAAAATACTCATCCTTCTAAGCAATCAATTCAGTTTCGCATCCAATTTTTTGTATTAGGGTAACTAAATGTTTTATAGAAGATCAATTGAATTCCATGAATTTCAATTTTTCATGCAGACGCGAAAAATTGATGTTTCCAAAAGTCGATTTTTCAACGGTCACTCAAAAAATTGTCATCAAAATGGAATTAGTCATGGCTCAAAGAATTAATAACAACACTCTCTTGATTCTAAATTTACATTTACATTAATTTTTTTCATTGTTAGTAATTTTTGTGAGAAAATTGAACTAAACTTTACAGTTTTCAATGATTTTTCGTTCTTTTTCTTCATTTTTGTCTCGAGATTTTCGTTTTCAGAATTCTGAAAAACGAATTCGAGTCTTGAGAGGGTCTGAATGTAGACTCATTCGATAGAATCAAATAATACGCAACATTTTGATGACATTTCGATTGATGATTGTACTATAGTATGAAAAAATAGAAGAAGAGAATAGTGAAATAAGAATTTTAAAAAAGGGAATCCATTCATTTATTTAAAAAATGGCATTGCCCACTTGTTTTCAACTTTAACTCGAGAAACTTGGGGTAATCATCATCATATCGTTGCAGGTGGGTTCAAATGACGAATAATAACAGTGGAGAGAGCTACAGAGAGAGAAAACCAGAGGATTCTGACGACGAAGAGGCTGACAATTCCTGCGATAAAGAGGATAACGACGACGACAGCAATTTGCGTCCTCGAGAAGTTGTTAAAATCGAGATGCATTCCCCCAACGATCCGCAGAGGGAAAATCCCTCGATGGACGATGGATTCATCATGAAACCTCTCACTGGACTTCACCTCACTTTCAACCTCGAGGCCGGCAGCCTTCTGCCACTTGCCATTAAGTGAGCACCTTTCCAGCAGTTGTTTTTTCCCACCAATTCATTAGATTTTTATTTTTTAATGCCCATCGATTTCAGGGGACGCGTGATGCATGGTCGACATTTCACATTCAAGTCGATACTATCGCACTCAGCCATCACGATCGTCGCCTCGTCGGTCACTGGGACACTTGTGTCGCGTGAGAGGCCTTATGTCGTTCAAGGCCCCTGGCTGCAGGTACTCGTACCTGATGAACTTGCTGAGAAAATGGCCGGGGAGTTCCAAGTATTTAATTCGCCGCAGCAGGTGAATATGATTTTTCAGAAATTGAAGACTATTTAATTGCCAAATTTTCTTTGCATTCATTTTTAAGATTAATTTTTCATTACGGCCTTTAAGAAACTAGAGAATTCAGAAAACAATTGTGTGAGGGTTTATTTATAGATGTTGGCATTCTGTGCAAAACATTTTTAATGCTGAATTTGTCTACGTTTTTTTTATTTTTAAGGTGAAATATCAAAGTGCTACCGAATATCAATTTTTTTCAGAAATTGATTTTTCATCGTGTTTTTTGTAAATTTCTCTAAAATCAGAAAATTCGAAGAAAAATGTCCAAATCATTTCTTGTGAACAAATGCCTCTAAACCCCATCGATTCCCATAATAAAAAAATAATTATTGGAGTTGTATTGTTTAATTTGAAGTATTTTTTTTTAGATTCAACTGCCCAGGACCTTCTCATGGCCAGAACACAAGCTCGCAATAACAATCGTCAGTGATTGATCAATGAAGCAATTGAAAATCTCACGAATGACATGGAGCGAATATCAATTATAATTGCTCGAGTATTTTTTCAACGAAATTAATTAAGCTCGTAAAATCTAATTTATTGGAGAATCATGACATGTTATTTTCAATTTTAAATAGTTAGCCGAATGGAGAATAATTTATTGTTAATAAAAGTGCCTTAATTGTTACGAGATGAGAGATCTCGTAGTGTCTCGAATACTGTAATTTAACAGTAATTGATATATTTATGACTGTAAATACGTTTTAACGCACAAATCCAAAAAAATCATTGCATCAATTATTATTAAGGATTTTTATACATTGTTAGGAATAAAGGAGATGGATAATAGTGAAATTAGTTGGAGTTGTGGTTGACGAGGGTTTATTGGGGGCATTTTGAGGGGAGTCATCTTTTTTTGGAGCTGCGTCTTCCCCTGGAGCTTGAACTCTTCTTTCGCGACGAATTCTGGTGAGTTATCCATGCACTTTCCGGTCGGGCGGGACACGGTGGGGGTTCTTTCAATTTCTCGTTGTATATCTCCATCATTCGGGTGAATAACATCATTGGATTGAATTTTCCTTTATTCTGGGGAGATAAAAAAATTTGAGTGTTTCAATATTGCAAATTCCAATGATATAAATCAGTACAATTCCAAGTGTATATTGAAGCAATTATCATTAGTTATTTTTTAACGGGCTTCTAGGGGTGATTTTTTAAATATTCATCGGGTAAGAAACAAATTTGATTTGAGGATTTCCAAGTATTTGGGCTATTCTTCCTCCAGTAAAAACATTTTACAATGATTTTATATTATTTAAACTTTGCAGGTCTGCATTTGAATTTCGATACTGTACCGAAAACATTTTAAAAATCTGAAAAAAAAATTAGAAAGTCAACTTTTGGAGGAAGATTGATGAAGAAATTAAAAAATTGCTATTGTTGAAAACTACGAGCATCTTCTATAAATAATTTATAAATAATCAATTTTCACCATAAATTAATTTATTCATATTTAGAATTTTACCAGACATCAGTTTTATGCCCAAAAAATTCCCAAAAACTTGAATAATTTCAATTATTTATTCACAACCTAAATTACTTATTATTAGTTATTAAATTATTTTATATTTAAAAACTGTTTTAAAAAATAATAGGGGAGGTTGGGGTAAAACGGACACTTGACTTTTTTAAAAATGTTAATGAGAGGTTGAAATGTTGATAAAATTTAATAATTTTTTTTTCAATACAAAGAACAATTCTTTCCCTTTGTGGCGAGCCTAACCCGAGCTCAATTGATCAATTTGTTTCTGAGTTATGAATAATTTTAAAAAAGTCTAAAGTGTCCGTTTTACCCCACCCTCCCCTAATTCCAAAGAAAATTTGAAGAACGCTGAATATTCATGATTTCTTTCAAATTTCTCACGCAATTGAACTGACAAATTTGATGATTGAAAATGGTTCCCCAAAAGTGCCCGAAGAAATTCCCTCGCGTCGTCTCACCTTCTCGATAGCCCCCAGCATGAACCTCCCAGCCCCAATCCACAGGACGATGACAATGCAAGCAGAAGCGAAATCCTCCACATCCTCGATATCGATAGCCCCCACGACATTGACAGTCCCCTTAATCGCGTTGGCGAAGGTCCTGAGGGCGTCGATAAGCAGGTCCCTGAGGACACACAAGATCTGGAAGCCCAGGCCCAGCACTGAGATCCCCAGCTCGACCGAGCGTGTCACGAACTCCAGCAGAATGTCGAGAACGAGCTCCCCAGTGTCCCACACACAACTCCCCGACTTCGAGACAAATTCAGACAGCTCGTCGGATACGTCTGCGACGTATTGCATTATCTCGCGTTTAGGTGAAGGCTTTTTTGAGAATTTACGGCTTTTTTATGCTTCATAGAGTTCAATGGGTTATTGGGAATTTAATTCGTCGAGGAACTTTCAATTTCACACGCATGGTTAACTTTCCGGCATCTCGAGACGTGTTTTGTTTATTCAATTAGCTGTCTTCGAGAATGAGAAGATCGATTGATTGATTGTGATAAAGAAAATTAAAGTTTTTGCTTACTTTCTGCTTCCGAATGGAAGCATTGTAATCCTTCGATTTTCACATTATCTAATTTGCATACACATTATCTTATTCCTTCATCCCGTTTTTTCCGCATATTTGTTTTCTCTAAATGCGCTTTCCTGTGCGCTAGCCCCGTAGGGCCACATTCTCTAATTTTGATTGGAAATTATGTAGAATGGTCTGAAACCTAAAAATACGAAGTTCGGTGACCGTGTCTGTTGTGACCACGTCCACCGCTACCTTCCTGGTGGTGAATTTTTAGAAAATTGAGTAATCAAGTGGCTGAGTAATTCTAAAAAATCGGAAATTTTGTCCGATTATAGGACCCAATGAGGAGTAGCTCTGTGCAAAATTTCAGCTCGATCAATCCAATAGTTTTTGAGAAAAAACGATTCATTTTTTAATCGTTTTCCGCAAATATCTTCAAAACTAGTGGACCGATTTCGATATTTTTTTTCTCAAAATATTTTCAGATTATTACTCAGTATGATAATTAAATCGTTAATTTTCCAATGTTATTTCAATAGAATTCAACGTTTTTTTGGCTTCTTCTTTCTAAAATTTTATTGAGTGTGTGTGAGTAGCAGTGGGGCAAGAGGTACGGGGAATTGAGAGAAAAAGTTCAATAGAATTCAATATTTTAATTGCCTAACAATCATTAAATTAATAAATAGATGTGTTTATGTATATAAAATGAACAAAAGGCGGACTGAGAAGATCTCGATAGCGGCAGTACGATAATTGAATCTCTACTAATGGAATTCCCTCCTATTACGTAATAAAGTTAATCGTGTAACCGGAAATCGATCCGAGAGTAGTTAGAATCAGTATTAAATCCATGATTATGTTTCTTCTGGTTGCGGTGCTGCCGTTGCACGCATCGGAGTCACTGCACGACTGCACACATCCCCGTACGTACCTAAAAGGTTCAAGAATAGAGATGTAAAAATGTTCTGACACATGTCACATGACAGACAAGAATTCGTCAGTTGACTTGATTTTTCAATGAAAACAAATCATTAGCGAAGTGGTAAACCGGTTTAAGTCGACTTATCTCCGAGTTGAATTTTTGAGGAATATTTCCGAATTTAAGGGAGATAACGAGATTTTTGTTAGAACCGTTTTTGTAGAGCCGATTGAGAGCTACAACAAATGTAGTTACGAAAATTTCGCTATCTCCCTTAGATTCGGAAATATTCCTCAAAAACTCAACTGGAAAATGAGTCAAACCGTTTTATCACTTCGCTACTGGAATAGTTAGTACCAAATTATCCTGAACTTTTCAAATAATGGAAAATTCAAGAATAAGTTCGGATTTTCGGGTTTTCTATGAATTTTCAGGGAATAATTGAACTAAAATTTACTGTTCTCATGGGTTTTTCCCAAAATTCCGAATTTTCAATGACGAAATCCCTTGAAATTTCAGTGGAACTTGAACGTGATAAAAATTTCCGAAAAATATATTGGAATTTTGTCATTGACGGCAATTTGACTCACATCTCTAGTCATGTCCCATCTAAATAGCAGTGAAACTGTCAAATTTTTGAAAATTTCATAATGCCCTCTCAGTTTTCTGAAATTTTTTGTGACACAAATTCTACGCGACTGCCACATTCCATATAAATAACCGTAATAATGTCAAACTACTGAAATTATGATTAAAAAAATTATGACCTCACACGACTATCATTTAAAGATCACCAATTTATCTGCAAAAAAAATTGACGGTCATCGTTATTCGAGAATGATGATTTCTTAGTTCTACGATATTTAGTTCGGTTTTACGCACTTTCCGTCGTAATAAAATCCACCGCAGTGGGATGATCTGACGAGCTCCGAATCTGTTGTGAGGGTTCCACTGTCCAAAGCGCAACTGCGAACGGTGAGGGATACACCAGTTTCGTCTGTAGTAATTAATTCAGTGATTAAAAAATATACAATGCTCAACCACGTCACTACAGGATTCTTGTTTTAAACAATAAAATATGATCACTGAACGTCAAGTAAACAATTTTCAATTTATTTTAGGTATTGCAATTACTTATTATTAACAATTAAATTGTTCAAATCACCCTAGTAGCCTAACTGTGAAGAATAGGCGAAAATTTTCAAATAATGAATCATCTAGAATTTAATGATGGTTTTGAACCAGGGGAGACTCCTAGACGCCAACGTTCTATACATACTCCTAGACCCCATTGTCCTCCTAGACAATGATGTCACAACTCTGCTGTTCAATTGAAAACAGAC